TGTGTGTGTGTGTGTGTGTGTATCAGCCTATGTGTACACACAGAGGTACGGGAGGGTGTTTATCATAGGTGACAGTGACATATCCTTATTTGTTTGTTATTTTTTTTCTCCCCGCTGTGTGTGTTTTCTGCTATCTGAGAAAACGTGGATAGATCCATCTGAGGGAAGAGACCTGGTCGCTGAGGTGTGACGCTCCCTATCACCACCTTTCTTACATCATATACGCCTACCTCAGAAACAAAAGTATAGAACAGTACAGTGCTGTGAAATGCTGTGTGTGTGTGTGTATGTGTTCTGCATGTGCTAATCACATTTTTAATAACCGCTGACAGCATTGCACAGCTCGACTACTTTTGCACAGGGGGACCTCAACAGAAGTCAACAGATTTTAAATAAGGATGCTGATTTGATCTAGAGACTGCCACATGAGGACATCAACACAGAATTAATTGGGGTTTGTGTCCTTATGTGGAAAAACCGAGAATTTTGCATAACAAAAAATTCCCGTATGAAGCCTTTTAATTCCTTAATTGTAGACAAAAAAGGAAGCAAGCTTACAATCTTTCTGTTACTTGTGCTTCATTGCTGCTTGGGAACCAAAAGGCCTGATTTTGATTTCCGTGTGTCCGTAATTCTTTCTTGTGTTGGTGCATCAAGTGGTGCTAATCACCAAGTCGTCATGTCCTGATGTTTTTTTACGAGGTGTCAGCGGGTTGACACCTCGGGTTGAAAGAAATAGAACGAAATAGAAGATAGGACTTTTTTTACCCTCCTTTGTCCCCGGTCTTTGTTGTGGTCAGTTTGGGGTTTTTTTAGGGGCAGAAATATTTGTCTCTGTAGTTTTTTCACTTCTTTCTTTCCCTCACATCAATTCCAATAGTTTTAGCAGTCTCCCTCCAGGAATTTGCTGACTTTTGTAAGTCCTTATACTGATGCTATGATTATTATCCTTTATACTGAGGCAATGATTGTTGTTCTGTCACTGATAAATTAAACAGCTGTGGCAAAAAAGTGCTGAACAGGCAAACCATAACAGTTGCAGCCTGCATGGACCCGACATGTAGTTACTTTTCTCTGATTTTGTACACTAACCATTATTTGACATTTTGCCCACTTAAGCAGGATACTATTAAATTATACGATTACAGTATATAATTAAAAGTAAGGTAAAATGTGGTGATCGACTTTGAACAACTCGAACTTTAATAATGTGTTCGTCTGGATATGCGACAGGACTTCAGGTGTCTCTTGTTAAACAAATCTTTCCTTGAATCATCTGTGTTAAATATGTGCTGTAGGTGTGCAATAATGTCTTCCGAAACCCTACTTTGTAACTTGTGCCACTGTGCACATTGCATAAATGCGTCTGCATTGACTGTGATTGGCGCATTTAGTAAGATTTTCTCCTGTGCATTTATAGCTGCTACATTTTTTGCTGTACTTGGATAAAATTCAAAAGTATAAATCATGAATTTCCCGTGACACAAATGGATCACGAAAGGTTTTTCTTTCAAAACACAGATCCACGTGATTTGAGGACATCTTAGTCATTGTTTAATCTAGGTCATATTATGTCTGTCAGAAAGCAACACTAAACTGTTACTTAAGGCTGTGGGTTTTCAGTGAGATGCATTTGCAAGACTGAATCTGTCCTAATTTTTAAAACCAAGCAATTTTTGCATATGTTTCCCATACGGTATGTGTGGTATATGTGTTTGTTTGTCTGTCTGTATGTGTTTGTGTGTCTGCCATCAGCCCTCCTGTTGTATTAGTGTGACCTGGCCTCAGGAGCAGCAGCAGAGGCAGCAAGAGTAGTGGAGCGATAAAGAAACGATGTGTTGTGCGAATCTGAAGCTGGCTGCTTATGGTTTTGGGGCCTGCAGGAATAACACTCACAGAAAAAGTCTCAGCTCAGCAGTTTGTGTGCGTATGTGTGTATATTTATCTGTGTGCATATATGTGGGTGTGTGTGTGTTTTTGTGCTTGTTGCATGCCCTGTGTATGTCGGTCATACGTTTCTGTAGCTGTCCACAGACTCTTTATCTGCTTTTTTTAAATGTATATGTTGCATGTGTGTAAATCAGTGTTTGTCCCTTAGGTGGGATGGGTGAAGGCACACTCCTGTCTTTACTAATACCCCTCAGCCCCCCTTCTATATTGGCTCGGACCCCCCCCCCCCCCCCCCCCCCCCAGCCCACCCTACCACCACCTCCTCCTCCCTCACAGGGTCTTATCTAAACTGTGGTGCTGGCAGACGGGACAGGCCACTGGCTGATAGCGATTGTTTATCCCACGGTGCGAAATTGCTGATCTGTCTTCTGCTTTTCCCTGACAGCTAGATGTTCATCTCTCTCTCTCTCTTTCTCCCTCTCTTGCCCCACAGATACAGATATTGGCACCTATCAGTACTACGATAAAGGAGAGCCAGGTAAATAGTGTTTATATTGGATGTCTGTTTGTGTTTAAGATAAGTTGCATTTGCCTTGTTTTTGGGACGTATGCGATTTCCTTATATATAAAGAAGGGCTTTTTGCTGCCTCCTGACACACAGATTATTGGCCCTGCGTATTTTGGTGTCCTACACACATTGACTTGTCCACATAGAGGCTATTAGTATGTAGGATTTACACCCTAAAACCTTATATACACATGCACATACTGCTCACACACGAAAATTATATTAGGCCTCCTTGGTTCTATCTCTTACACTGCCTGTGTTCCTGTTGACCCGGGGTCCTGCCACATAGCGATAGGAAAACTAAGCTGTTGACTTTCTCCTGGATCACATAGCAAGAGGCCCCATGCAGTCCAGCTTCATATTGCCTCAGGCCAGGAGGCTTCCCTTACCATCAGGAAGTGCTCAAATCGCTCTCCCACCGTCTTTGCTGCCTGGGGACGTTCTCCCTTATCCTTCAGGTTTCTCCCCCTTTTTTCCCACATGAGTGGAAACTCTCTTTTGAGAGGATGGGCTACTATATTATCACTAACAAGCTTGTTTAGCAAACTGCATCCATAAACTACTGGGGAACAGTTAATAGATAGCTGAATAGTGCCAAGTAAAATGCATTTAATACAAATAAAACACTAGAATTATACTGAATCTTCTTGGAGAGTCTTTTAAAACATTTAACCAAACAACAAATGCTGTTATTTCAAAAGGCACCACTGACACTGTTCCACGTCCAAGTGAAGCCAACAAAAGATTGCTGGTTCAATTCCAGTCAGAGACCTAAATCCCTTTAGGGGTTGTGTCAGGAGGGGCATGCGGTGTAAACCTCTGCCACATCAAACATGTGAAGCTACAATTTGTGATAAATGAGCTGCCCACGTAGCACTATAAAGTACTGCAGTTACACATGTTTCAATATGTAAAGTACAGTGACACACTTATATGGCTGAACTTTTAACATCACTCAGGCACAACAATAAAACCACTGTCAAAGTGAAAATTCACTATGCTGCTGGGAAATCCTAGGGTTTTTTAGCACCTCGTCATGGGACATGAAGCATTCCCAGCTGGTCCCTGTGCCCCTGTTTATTATAAAAGAAAATGATCAGGAGCAATCTGACAGACAGGTAGACTTGCCTTCCAAACTCCCCAGATTTCTATCCAGTTGGGCATCTACAAGATATGCCAGAACAACCCTGATCTATAGAAGCTCCACGCTGTAACCCACAAGACCCAACAGATCCGCTGCCAGTGTCCCAGTGCCAGACACCACAAGACACCCCCACAGATCCTGGTCCATCCCCTAACAAGTCAAAGCTGTTTTGGTGCCACGAGGAGGACTCACACGATACTACGTAGATTATTTTAATGTTTTGGCTGATAAGTTTTTTTCTTTTTTGTTTTGTTGTTTTAGCCCAAGAGTCTATCTTACCCCGAGATTTGTCAGCTTATATAAAAGAATTGACATGTTTTTAATTCTGTAGGTTTTGCTTCATTTTCAGTGGAAAATATCAGGACTTGTCTTATCTGAAGACATTTCAATATTTTCATCTGCTGCAATTGGTGAGATGTTTTTGGCAAAACGACTGTACTTTTTTTTTAAAACGACTGCTCACATTTTTATGTTTGACTGCTTGGAAGTAATGCAAAGATCTGATCGAACTTGAAATGAATATTACTAATTATATAATGAATATTACTTTATAACCACAATAATTTAGACACTTGGGTTTTTATGCATCTAACAAAGGTTAATTGATATTAGCCTTAGCATTCATGTGGCTTTTTAAGTTTTAAGTTTGATTTGTTTGGGTGAACCAAAATCTAAAATCTGGGACCATCCTCTTTCACCTTACACACAGTGGTTTGGTTTGGTACATATTTTAAATGGAACGGGTTTAACTAATCTTATCCTCCGGTGAAGTGTAGATATAGACCTAAATATCTTTGTTTCATCAGTTCTGTAACATTCCTGTAATCTGTCGCAGTCTCACACTATATGTTTCAGCGCCTTTGTCATGGATTTCCTTTGCTTTGTCATAGTTTTCTGTTTTGTTCTTATTTTGTGTACAGTAAGTCTCCCTGTCTCGTCTCTCCTCTCCGTCTTCCTTTCTCTCTCATCAGGAGGTTTTCTCCCTTCTCTCTCATCTGAGAAGCTGCCTTCTCTTTCATTCCAATCTTCAGTGGAGAGACGATGCTCTTGCTCCAAATCCTTTCATTTGGAGGATTACTAAAGTGTGGCTTGATATCAGAGTGGAGGGAGGAGTGGGGAAGCCATGGGAGGAGGAGGGAGGGGAGAATCACAATCCAAAAGTATCACAACATTTTCACACAGCGGTGTAACGATAGCTTGGGTCATGATTCGATTTCATATACAATAGATTACATTGGATTACAATAGAATTTGAATGTTTTCTTTTCTCTGTGGCATTCAGCTTATATAAATAAGAGAAACTTTATGCAAAACTTTAAAAAACTGCATAACAATGATCTCCATAATGAGGTGGCATGTTTTGAAATGTAAAGATCCCTACAGGCCTGTAGTATTACAAAGCCTCTATAAACATGGGTTTTGATTTTTGATGTTTCTCTTCAACACTGAATGTTCATATTAGACCAAATAAGCAACATTCAAGTTGAAAACAACTTAAAGCATTTTTTGGTATGCAGAAATTGCTTTATTAGAATTATGTAGGTATGTTTAGATTAATTTTGATTGGTGGTGACCAAAAAAGTCCTCAGATTTTCAGTAACAGTATGCAATATCACTTTTTGTGCCATGTGTTTATGCAGGACCTCGTCACTTATAGGTACAAAGCTGAGAAAAGCAACATTTTCTACTTTGCATGTGTGTAAAGTTTTTTTGGGTTTTTTTTTTTTAGTTTTTTTTAGTTTTTTGGTCATTTAAGCAAAATTCACATGTTTTGTTTTGGGTTTTTTTTTTTTTTAAAAAAATGGAAAAAAAAAAAAAAAAATTAATCTTTGTATATCGGTAAGACTTCAATGATTGGTTGGTCACTCTAGCCACGAGCATCATTAAAATCAGATTTTGTGTCTAGTTGTTTGTGTTTACCTTTGTTGCTTCCACCTGTCCCCACTAGAGGGAGGCCCAAGCTCACTGGAGCAGCTCTGGGGGTCCCCAGCAGCCAGCCCCCCCTCTCCACGCTCCACAGCCCCAGAGCAGGTGCCCATGTCTGGGCCTGTCTGGCCCTTCACCCCCTTATCTGATTAATACTACTAATCCTGGAGGTGTTCCTGCCTGCCAGAGAGGCGGGCCACCAGACTGGCCACTGTCTTGCTCAGGGCAGCCAGGCCGTAAGGCATGGTTGTGGGTTGTACTTTGCCAACATGACCCCTTGGAGCTAAGGGGATGTTTGAGCTCCAGCTTAGTTTTCTTTTTCTGTCTACATCATATAATAAAACTAGATGGCATATTTAAATAATCCCAAATATTGTCCTTTTTTGTATTTTCTATATATTCCAATAATTCTAATAAGTCCCTTAATATGGCTTCTTTATTGTTCCCAGCCATTTCCCTGGATCATCACTACTACAATGACAAACTCCAGTTCTGTGAAGGTAAGTTTTCCAGCAGTTTCCAAAGAGTGATTGTCACAATTGTGTGTTTCTTTGAGCTCTGGTCATCTCGCCATTGGATGACCATCCTTCAGAAATCACTGCAATACTCAGTCAGCTGTCCTGTTTTCCTCTTTTCGCTCTCTCCCACCCTCTCTTCCCTCACACTCGCGCTGCTTTTCACCCAGTGGTGGAATACAAACACCCTTATCAGGAGACGAACACTCATCCCCCTGCCCTCTTCTCCCTCCCCTCGCTCTCCTGCCCCCTCCTGCACTCACCCTCCACATTCTCATTTGCATGCATCTGTTTACCTCTTCTTCCCACTTATTCTTAATAGAGAAGCCCCACTCCTTAATGGTTCGTTTCTATAAAGATGAAAAGAGAGGCTGTAAAATACACAGATAGGCAAGTGATTGCACCACATTGGAAACACCACTCCTTCATTTCCTTTTTCCCCCCCACTGAACTTCATGTATATGTGTGGGCAGAAGCACAAATTCAATTAACTGTTTTTTTTTTCATTCTATATGCTTCTTTCCCTCTGTTTAACCACTAGAGATGGAGGGGGGAGAAATGGAGGGCTGGAAAATTAAACTAAGGGGGGCCTTGGTGTGGTACTGGTTGAGATATGTTCTGCTAAATGTGAGCTTGCATTTAGGAGATAACTTGTATAAGAGCACCAGAAGTCCTTGATTCTCCTCAAGTATCGGTTTGTGTGCTTTGAAGGGACATTTTGCTTTCAGTAGAATATTTTTGCTTTATAAAGTAAAGTGTAAACAACTCACATACCTGCTGGTACTCCGTTGGTTGTACCATTAATTCATAGATAAGGAGATATGTCTTTAAATGTCTCACATTTTTGTTAATAGCTCCAATCAGGGTGCCTGTCAATAACAGTAAATTAAACTTGAACTTTATTAAGTACTGTGTGGTGCATGTGTTAGTGTTATTTCGATAATATGATAAAGATGAAAATGATGTATATAATGCTTAAAAAATTGGAAAATATGCAGGTGAGGTGAAGGCAGTGGCGCAAATCACAAGATACATCTATTCATTCATTTTCTTCCACTTATCCAATTCAGTAGTAGCAGTTTTAGTGTTGGGGGCACATATGACTCATGAGATAGAACTGCTCATCTACTAGGTTGGTGGTTTCATCGCAGACTCCATATGTTGGAAGCGAATCACAAATTGACCCCAGTGCATCCGTCAGAGTGTGAGTGTGTGTGAGTAATGGTTAGAAAGCCTTAATTAAAGGTATAGATTAAAAACACTGAACAGTCCTTTTTCCATTTACTTGTTTAGGTTTAGGAAAAAGTTGAAATACTTCTGCTTCTAGTACATGCTTTGACACTCTGGAAGTTACTAATCATTTAAGAAACTTTTTATTTGCAATCATTAAAAAAATGCATAATGTAGTTCTACAAAAAGCTAATTTCTTTATATATCACAATAAGCATATATTATAACCTAATCAATTATATCACTGTTAAAAGTACAATGAAGAAATTACCAAAGTTTATTATCAATTTACATTCTTTAATGTATTTTAGGTATTATACAGTGTTACATTTAAGATAAGATGTCATTAGTGCCCTATTTGTATAAAATATGCAAAGTAAATCCAAAAACGCCTAATTAACCAGTTTTATCATTGGCTATCAAGCCAATCTTTTTCAGAGGCTCTTAAAACCTCTGACTGTTCTTTTCAGTACTGTCATTTCCACCTATGCACTATTGGCTACTTCCTCTTCTGCTCCAATTTCTTAAGTTTTCTGGAAGAGAATGGATCAACTCAAAAAGAGAAACTCTTTCAATTAGTGTTTAGAATATATTTAGAATAGAAGTATAAATTAAGCGTAAGGCCTGTACAATGACACTGCAGGCAATAATAACATGTAAATCTCCACATAGAAAGGCCTCAACTGACTCAGACCAGGACCCTTCTGGCTGAGTGCTAACCATCAAACATCTGCACCACGGTAAATGCTGTAGAACTACTCAAATGTGTCCACATGTTGTACTTTTCTCCCACTAGATTACTTAGCAGAGCAAATAACTCTGTCTTTAGTTCTTTCAGTGCAGTAGATTACAAACTTCCTGAGGTAAGGTCAGCTTTATTGCCAAAGCTTTCAGTAAGGAGTTCCCCATTGCCTCCTCAAACCATATTTGTGGTTGAATCACGTGGAGGTTCATTTCGCTGTCTGCACTCTTAGCAAAGACAATTATGCTACAATCCTGGAAATCTGATGTTTGAAAAGTGGTAAAGGAATTAGAAAATGGATCACACCTAGAGAAAATTGTATACAAACAAAAAAGGGACCAATTAGAAGGAAATAGACTAAACTGACTGTTCAAATGATTGGTTATTGGTGCAACAGATAAACTAATAAGTCATTACTGATTAAACGACTGGCTATGTGATCATTCCCAGTGTTCCCATGTATGTGTTTGGTGTTTTTTAAAAACTTCTCTTTTTTGTACATCTGTAATGTGCAAACATTAATACACGTGTTTAAAAAAAAAATCTTAATAGTTATTGGATTTTTCTTTCTGTTTTTGAACTCAGACATTAATTGTTTGTCTTGGAGCAGTGCAGCAACTCTCTCTGCATGCATTCACAAACACAATCACTGGCATGTGGACCGCCTGCCTCATCTACCTACATCTCCTCATTCCACCTGGCCTTCATTCCTCATATCGTCTCTTCTCACACTCAGATCTCTATTAACTTTTATCATTTCCGGGTTTTGGGTGCCACATTCTTCTCAATTCCCATGACTGGCTTTTTAAAAAATGTTCGTATCTGTGTTAAAAAGTTAAGTCACATGATCTCCCGGCTTTTCTTGTGTTTTTCCTCTGTAGCTCGAGGCTATTCGTGGACTCCCAGGAACCGCCGACCAGAAAAGCTACGCGATTCGCTGAAGGAGTTGGAGGTACCCGCCTCCTCTTTTCAGTAGCCCCCACCACCAACTTCACCACCACCATCCCTCCTGGATGCCCCCCATCTTCTTCCTCCCTCTGGGGATTTTTGGAGTTTTCCCTTTCCGAAACGGCCGATTGATTAACAAATAGGGGCATTCTCTCTTTTCTCCCTCTCCCTTCACTCTCCCTGTCGTTCCCGTTTGTTCTCCTCTCTCCCTCTTCTCTCTCATCACCTCTCTTTCGGCCGAGCTCTGTCATCGAGGGGGATATTTGAGGGGATCAGGGGCCTGCCTGCAGCCCCCTCATCCCTCCTCTTCCTCCTTCTTCCCCTCGCTCTCCTACCCCCCTCCCTTCTTCCCCTCTGTACTTGTAGCAGTACAGACCTAGCTTTGTTTGGAACCTGTCTGTGGCTGTCACACACACAGATGCACACACACACTTTCCCCACCCATCCACCTCCCTCCTCTCACCCGTAACCATTGTCTGAAACTAGAAACACCCCAGCTCACCTCCACACCCCACCCTCCGCCTCCTTTTCCATCCCTCTCTCCTCCCATCCAATCACCCCAGCTGGGTTTGGAATGTGGCAGGAATGACTGACCTTACACACACACACACACACACACACACACACACACACACACACACACACACACACACAGAGTTGTTACCTGCACCCCTTTCTCAACCCTCTTCCACCTCTTCATGAGCAGGAACTGCTGCAGTGACCTCCTGTGGTGGCAGTTGCCTGGTACTGTGTGCTACCAAGACAATTTATGCATTAGAAAGTTAGCGAATTGTGACTCCAGAAACTTACACAGACATATTTTTTGCTGTTTAATTTCCCACTCTGTCTAAAGCACCTGTCTGGTCTCAGCTCACTTTTGTTGCGTTACTTGGTTCAACTCTGTCTCTTTGTCTTTCTCTCCGTTTGTCCATCGTGCTCATTCAGGAACTGTTGCAGACCAACACCTGCATTCACACCAGATGGAGAAACAAACACTGCTGCCAGGTATACACCCTCCTAAGCCCAAGACCTACTGTGTGGAAGTAGAGACACACACACACATACACTCAGATATGTCTTTGTGGGTGAAGTTTCAAGAGTTTCTCTTTATTATACTACCGCTTACTAGTTCATCTCAAACAATATCAGTATAATTACAACATGGCATTTTTAAAAATCCCTAAGGCTGATTTGCATGTTGCTAATCCTGGTAAAAGCAAGTTTCTAGTTTTTTTTAAATGTTAGTAATATGTGAATTTGTTTATTGTGTCATCCCCGAGCACGATCATTTCTTTAACCCCAAGTGATAACAGAGTAGTGAATCTGAGAGTTAAGCTAATTTCTTTAGAAATTAAATTTATATTAAAATATCAGTTTTATTTTGCTAAGATTAACACAGAAAAATCCCCAAATTTCTTTAGCATCTAACCTACTAGTCCCTCTTTAGGACTCTCGGTTTATAAAAGAAAAATGATTTCCTTCACTATTTTCTTTCTTTCTTGATATGAGCTAGAAAGACTCACTCTAGACATATTTCTAATATTAAAGCTAATCTAAAGAGTAAACAAATTCAAACTATGCCACCAATCATAACAAGGATAAATAAACTGTATTTAATTCAAGTTCATTTTTCCCAGCTTCTTATGAGCATGAATGGAAGCCAGAAGCTGCTGTTTGTATTAGTAACATCATCCTTGGGTTGTAGTAGGAGCACGTAGAGCTGCACATCTCCTTTGGAGCCACGCATTTCTTGTCTTCTTTATGTCTTGATTATTGCTAAGTCAAAATCTGGTACATAGTCTCAACATTTAAGAAAATTACCTGGTTTAATTTCAGATGATAAACTTCATATGTGATGTCTTCTACATCACTAGAAGTCAATTTTCGCTGTTTTATGCAATGCATGCTTCACGTTTCCACATTAAAGTTCTTCCCAAAGTTACCTGTTGGATTTTAATTGTGATGTTACACTTCCTCCTCATAGGTGCACACCTTGTACATTATCTGTGACATTAAATGGGCTTTAAACTCAACAAAGGAGCTGCTCATTGTTGAATGGTGTAATAGAGAGACTAGACTAAATCTCTTTTAGCTGTAGTCATTCTGAGGTTTCTGTTTTTGTGTGTGCTGTCCTGCAGGTCATGCTCAGCAGTGGAGTGCTGGTGACCCTGACTGTACAAGGACCTCAGCTCGAACAAGTGTGTATAGACCGTACATTAGTGGGCCGACTACCAGCCAGCACGGTGACGCATGGTTAGTTGTAGAGGCACACTGACATAATGAATTCTTTACCCCCTAGCACATCATCACAGGACCCTAACTTAAAAAAAAACCCCTACACTTTGAAGAAAGTGATCCTGGCCCTTACTTATTGACTTTTAGCTTTATAAGCAGACATACTCATATACTTAAGCCCCCCTATAAAATCAGGCTACTTTAATAGACAGACTTTAGGACTGCATTTTTAAAATGTGAAAATTGCAAACATTTGGACTTTTCACTGTATTTTTCCTGTCAAATGGGCCACATCAAGAGAGCCTGAACTTTTTATTTAGTCAGAAGTTGTCCGTTTTAAAAACATCATCCATCGTCTGCCATACTGCACTAAAGAAAGTAAGTAATAAATAAACTGTCACATGACAGGGTATCTTTTTACATCTAATATTCCATTAAACAACTGAAAGTTCCTTTTTTTCACCGTAGAAAATGAGTTAAGTAGCTTAATGTTTCCTTTTGTTTGTGTTTTTTGTACGATGGCACCGTTGTAAAACTAGGATGACTTAAAATAGAGTAATCTGTAACACATTTTTTTCTTGAAGTGCAAGCCCCAGACTTACTGGTGTATTGCTGAAATTACACTTCATTTTCTTAAGACTCTCAGGCTCATTAGTATTATAAATGGATGGTATATTGAACACTAAATTACACTAAATTAAAGGGGAGCAATTTGGAGAAGTTTCTTTTTTATTATAGCTTAGAAGTGAATAATCTTACTGGTCTCATGTGGCTGTCAAACTAAAATGAGTTTGACACTTATTTGTTTTTTAAAGTCCAGTGATTGTAGCTTTATGTTTCAGGCATTTAAAGCAAGTACAGTTTGATGTATGTTATATGCTTTATTGTAAAGGTATAATAAGAAATTTCTTTGCTTGACCAAACTGTATGAAAGATGAGCAGCGTTTGTATTGACTGAAGGTCTTTAGGCTATGTGGAACATGCATTTTACATTAAATTAAAGTGTTTCAATGCTATATATTTGTGGCCCTTAATTAGTGGCCCTAAGTGCTACTGGGTTTGACAGCCCTGATCAGCTGGTCCAAGACATTCAGGGAGCCTTTAGTGTACAATTAACATCATAAGACATTTTTGACTGTCGTATTGGTTACTTTGGTGCTGCTGATGTTAATTAGTGCTGTTGCAACCGGCATGCCCATTATAGTGTAAACAAAGGGCTTTCTGGTGTATTGTTTTTATTTTTGAATTTACTGAAAGAAATTCTGTTTTTTAGGTGATTTAAATATTCCAGAGGTTCATTGAGCTTTAAGCAGATTTACGGACACAAACATCATGCCCGGCTACCTCTCTCTGCCCACAGCAACAAACAAACAAATGCGGACGCATTAGCATTTAAATGTTCAGTTTTATAAAAACCACAATGACGTCTATACCTCGCACTTTCTCTTACAGCGGCGGCATAGACGCCGCGGTTACACCTGCTCACCCCACATGCATCTACCGTCTACCCTTTCCTCGCCACTCTGTCACGCAAACACTCTCTCGCGCCACACGCGCCAACTCAGACACACATAACAGGTGCCACAGGTGAGCAAGGCGACTCTGCTAGCTAATTGCGGGCAAATCCTTTTGTGCTGTGTGTGTCCAGGGGCCTTCCCTTAAGAGCATCCATCAGTGTTTTTCCCTCCATCGCGCGTTCCTCCAGGGAGTACCGCCCCCCTCGCGCTGCACTCCCTCGCTCTGCAGACCTGGCAGGAGAGAATAAAGGGCTGTGGACACCGGCCCAAATCTGCTAATTATTTCTTTCTTTCTGTATCAATTATTTGTTCATAACACCGCCCTCCCCACTTCCGCCCGGGGTCTCTAGACACTTGATAAAGCCCCCATAGTACACACACACACACAAATTGGCATACAGACATACACACACTTGTCCCCATATGCATACATTTGCGATTACAGATTTTTCATTTCTTATTTTTTTTACCCTCTTATAGACAAACAAACACTTTCTGTATGTCCACTCACATTTACACACACAGACACACACACAGGTACACACACACTAACTCATCTCCCGCTGCGCTCCATTCAAAGCCTCAGAGGCACTAATTATTAGAGTAATGGTTGTGAGAGGGTGGGTTCCGGGGATTGTGTGCGCGTGTGTGTGTGTGCGTGCGTGCATGTTTTCAGGGTGGTGCAGTAGGTTAGAGGTTCTCACATCTGCCACTTGTTAAATTAGCCTGAGACAATTAGAGTAGAGAGCCTTAGTGGATCACACCATCTAATGCTTACAATGTACAGTTACTAAAACAGTTTACAATTACAGTTTTAATTCCTATATGCGTGTGTCTGTGTGTTTTGGTTTTTCTTGTTGTGTAAGGACATATGTGAGGTCAAAGTGTGTTAGATTCTTTTTATATATATCTAAATTACTGCCATGTCAGATAAGTTGAAAACTTACTTAAATTGCTGCTCTTATTGATATTTTTTTCACCATCAGTTAATGTGAATATTATTTTCTTCATCGTTTTATTTATTTAATGCATGAAAAGTAAACCATAATTTCCTGCAGCCAGCCTTTTACAGCCCAAAGTGTATGATTTTCTGTCATGTGTTAGACAGGAAATCCTCATATTGTGAGAAACAATATTTGGCATTTTGCTTGACAATTATGAAAATACTTTTCCTTCATTTTCTTTTACCCAAGCAATTAATTGGCTAAATATTGCAGCTGTAGTCGAATCTTAAATTAAACTCTAAGCCGCTGCGTAATGCCAAAGAATTCATTTTCATTGTCTGAACGGGATTGGACAACTTTCTAAATGGAGAGAAAAAAAGCTTTTTGGTGTTTGTATGCAAACGAAAATCCCTTTGATTTGCATGCAGCTAAATGTGAGGTTTGGTACTTAAAGCAACTGCATCCAGGTCTGTTTTTATTTCACAAAGCAACAAAGCACACTCGCACTCCTTTGTTAAACTTTGCATCCTGAATGCTGGTTACGACAGTGTTCCTACCATGAGCTCTGATTGCATCATAAAGAGCTGCAGATTACAAACATTTTACACCATCAAAGTATTAGCAGCTTCCTTTGGCCGATGGCTGGGCCAAGCTGCGCGTATGCTCCACGATTAAGCATCCTTAAGTGATTTTTTTCATAGCCGGTTTCATTTACCACTGTTTAAATGTGCTTTGGTTAAGCCCATTGGCCTCTTATGTCAACATGCTGCTGAGGAGATGGCATTAAATGGATTTAGGGGACTGTGTGTTTGTGTGTGTGTGTGTGTGTGTGCATTTTGTCTGAGTACGTTTCGTGGGGCCATGTGTTAGCTTTGCCGTATGCTTGTGGGCGTGAATGCATTTCTACATGTGTTACTGAGTGTAGAAATGCATGCATAAACTGTGGTTGCAGGCTTGTCTGTATGAATGTATTTGTAGCTATCCGTGCATTTGTCTGCAATGGTAGATTTGAATGTGTCTAAAATGTGTGTGCGTCTGGGGTGTTCACGGGTGGGTCATGAAGGTCTGGTTCTTAATGCCAAATCAGCCACCTGGTCCCAGATTGGGCCACAGCCTGGGTTCACATCCCTTCCTTCATTTGGAAATGAATGGGATTAATCTTAATCCCGTTTATAGACACCCATCGAGATCAATACTAAACTGCATTTAACTCGATTTGTCTATAATCTATTACAAAGACGCTTACTACTGCATTAAATGTTGTTTTGTAAAGCTAAGGCATCGTTAATGGCTGGGTTTTTTTTTTTTTTGTTGTTGTTTTGTTTTTTAATGGTTTAAGCCTTGAACCAGTTTTAGTTACGAATGCTTTATAATCCAACTTCAACATGAGGACAACCTGACTCAGTTGACCTGATTTAAAATGCTAGTTTTTCTGCATTTCTCTTCGCACGTGAATATTTGCATATTAATTTGAAATTTTCACACAACAGGATAATTTGACGTGTAATCGTACCAATACCCTACGTTTATAAATACACACATACCATGATTAATTGCTGGTTAGATTTCTGAATCTCGGGGTGCAGCCTTACTCGTTCAACTCAAAGCAGCAGATATCCTGCATGTGTAACAACACCCCCACCCTTTCCATTTAATTGGTTTCATAAACAGATTAATTTGAAGGAGAGGGAGGCTTAATTGCTAATCAGCGTTTCCATGCAGCTCCTGAAGAGTTGAACAGGATCAAGTGTGTTCTTCTACCACAAAAAGGCCTTAGAGCTTCCAGTGCACTGACAGGAGGGGAAGAGATACAGAGGAGGGGGGGATGCAGGAAGGTGGAGATAGGAAACGAGTAGACTAGGTGAAAAGGAAAGAGTAGGAAGGAAGAATTATTGACGGGATGTGAGACAGATGCTCAAAACTAATAGAAACCGATGAAGGGTGATAAGCTGCATTAAGGTGTAAGGAGAGCATAATGTTTAGAAAGGATCTCCAGGACGCTGTGCAGGTTGCAGAGTTAACAGTGTGGAAGCCAACAGGATAGGTCTGGATATTTTCCACATAAAAAGCCCAGTCTTTATTACTTGATGTGTCCAGCTGTCAGTGATTAATGATGAATATTAATGAAGCTATTGCAGACTTTGTAGATTTACAATCAGAAAAACTTGATGAATCATAACATGCAGATTTGCTACTAAATTATTCCACATTTTTCTCATGTGTTTACAAGTAAAAGCTGCAATTGTGCTCTAATAATATGGTTCTCCTCAATAGCACACAGTTGTGGTGGGTTTTTTTGTTCTGCTTTGAATGATGACATTTCGTGTGACGATGTCTTTGCCAGCGGTGCTGAGCGATAGGCTGATTCTGCTGTCCTTCCTGGAGCAGAGCCAAGTGGCGGCAGTCTACCTGAACAAAAAGACCCAGAACTCCCCAGAGACTGGCAGGCGAACAGACAAACTCTCACCCTCTGAAATCAAGGTACAGGTAACGCATTGATGGAGAAACGTGTGTGCTTAAGCATGTGTGTCTTTAGGTTGATGATTGCAAAAAGAGAGGGAGAAGTGTTTAATAAATAAAAATAAAACGGAGGCCAAAAAGAAAAAGTGCACTCAATGTAGCCAGCTGCTTGGGAAACACTTCCAGAGTGTTTTCTTGGATCAGTTTCACATTCGGTAGGGTACTTTTTCTTGTTGAGATTAAGTAAAACAGTTACATGTCCTTTCAGTGGACACCGGAGAGGAAATGCCATTAAAAATAACTATGAAAATGCTGCTAGGAAAGAAAAAAAACATGTTGAAGCTCAGTCAGAACCTGCTGGGTCCTTGATTTGTTATTGACCTTCTCCCTGTGACAGCTAGATAAATTACCAACTCTGGCTTGGAAAGTCCACTAAGAATAGTTTCCTCCAGTCTGTTCTCAATCTATATGGACGGTGGCATGATATTTGTAATCTGTAGACCATCACTATGGATTTTGACAAAGATGTGAAAATTAAATCTTATTTAAATGGTTGTAAATAATAAACCATTAATCCAATATTTTTCTCATCACATTTTCTTAAATATGAGGTTGCCTTGTGGCAAAATGTGAAGAGGTTACAAAAAAAGAAATCTGTTCATGATCGCAAACACAAATTATTTCATTTTCAAGTTAGAATGAATTTGAATGTAATGCATTTTAGTGGGAAGTATGTTTCATGTCTTTTGCATGTATTTTATCCAGACTGTAACCTGTGTCACCCTGCAACTAATAAAATATTTATTAATAAGATGTAATAAGATGTTTCTGTAAACCTAACTAAGAAGTTAATAAAACATAAACATATATCCTGAACCTAACAAAAAACCTCTTACTACCTAAACCTAACACAGTTTCTAATGATAATTAATAAGGCAATTAGAGTAAAGCAGTTGAAGTCCCATGTAGGCCTCCAACTGTGGTCTGTGATGTAAACGATGAAATGATTCACACCACCACCAACTGCTCTTTTCATGCTTTGAAAGAGGAAAATATTCCATTTGTACACATGACATGAATCAGCACATATGAGACCAGTCAAACGGAAAAATTGTTTTCAAAGACACACTTCAAGAAAATGAGGGTGGGAAATGGATTAAAAGTCATAAATATTTCTCCAACTGGTTCAGTTTAGTATTACATCAATACAATATACATTATCATGAGAATGTAGCCTTTATAGCTCACATGTTCCCAGTTTGACTCTGGCTCTGCGACTTCCCTGTTCCTGTTTGTTAATCTCCATTCAGGTGTGTATTGGGCTCCCTCTGATCTGAAGGTGTGTTTTTTTTTTTTTTTTTTTTTTTTTAGCTGTTAGTAATATGCTTGATTATGTGTAGGACGGTTCTTCCCACAAAACAAAACTACACTCTGTCCTCCTTTGCTAGCTGGCTAACCGCTAACCCTGGCATTATCACATTACTGCCAGGCCCTTTTGTTAAGGGCTGTGTGTGTGTGTGTGTGTGTGTGTGTGTGTGTGTGTGTCAGTGTGTGTCTGTGTGTGTCTCTGCTGTCTCTCAGAAGCACAGTCCTGATATAGAACACCCCCCCCTCCCCCCGCATCACCCCCACCACTCCATATTGTACATCCAACACACCTCTGTTAATGCATGTGCACATACATGCATGCAACCTGCGACCAGTACACACATGTGTACACATATGCCCAGCTGCCCATCCCCTACAACACACACGCACACGCGTACACGCCGCCCTGGTCCAGTGGGCTAAGCTGGAGAAGGGAGAGTAGGGGGCGTTGAGGGGGGGGCTAAACTAATCCGGCCCACAGAAAGTGGTTTTTGATTATTGCTGACCAGCAAACGCCAGCAGAAAAAAAAAACTAGAAGAGCGAAGAGATGGGTAGGGATGGAGGGGACATACGGGGGGTAGAGATAGTGTGTTATTAACCCAGTGATTTTCAGATTTTATTTTTTCTTTTCCATTTCTAATCTGTCAGTGATCTCCCGTTCAGCTGTTTGGAGCAACTCTTTGTTCCCTTTATCATCGGATGTAGCTCCATCATTTTCAGGCGTATTCTGTGTCCAAAGCAAATTTCCCCCCCGAGGGGGCAAGGAGGGCAGACATGGACCACTGACTCTCAAATCTGCTCCACTCATACAGTACAGCTTGTCGATTTACTAATTTCTGCATGTTCTGGGACTTTTAGACCATTTTCTTTTGTTGAGACATGTTTTTAGTAATTGATTTTCTAAAGACATATTCCCAAATTCCTGCTGATGCCCTTTTAGGGGGATTTTGATGTTACAACTGCTCTTTTCCTAGGTTTCAAACATTTATTTTGGCACAAACCTCTCATTGATCTATTACTGATACTGATCTAATTAATTTGGATTTCTTTTTAACCTCTTCATGTGCACTTTTTTGTTTTGTCCTTCACTCATTCATTAATTCATGCTTGTATTTTATTCCTCAATTCTCATTTCCCCGAAGATATAGTGCATGACAGCAGCTTTCACCTCACTTGCCTTTCTTAACCCTCTCTCCAAACCCAAACAATCAGCTTTTTTAAATTCGTTATCACCATTTATTCCTCTCTCTTTTGCCTCCTTCACCTCTGTCCTCCCTCTACCTATCAGGTTTTAGCCATTCTTCTGCAGAGTGACAGAGGTCATGGATGTGTGTGTGTGTCTTAATGTGTGTGCATTAGCCATTGACTCTGGTTCCTTGTGTTAGTGAGTATGGCTGAAGATAAAGAATATATGAAAGGTTTGTATGAATATGGGGCTGTGTGTGTGTACCTGCACTTTGTGTGTCTATCCAAGAGTGTTTGTTTACTTTATAAATCAATGATTGTATACATACATGCACATATTTATGTATGTGTGTCTATTTGTGTGTCTGTGTGAATGTGTGTAACCCGCCCACCCCCCCCAAGCGCCACGAGAGCTCATTACTGTGCGTCTCTTTGTTGTGGCCCGTAGAGCGTGGCGGACCTTCCCAAAAAATATGCACATCACTAAAACAACAAGCCCGACAGAACAAAACGCACACAGACATTAATAATGGAAGATGAAAAAACAACCTTAGACATCAACAAAAACAGGATGGGGGAAGGACAGCAGAGGCACCAGGGGCTCCAGCCGTGAAAGTGTCAGAGCCCTCGGGTTTTAAAACAGGCCAGGAAGGTGAATCCAAATGAGCGAAACACTGAGATGCTCGCATATCTTTCCCATTCTTCATAAAATATGTTCTAACTTCAAGAATCTCTGTCTTCCTACTATTTTAATTGCCCATTTTCACTGTTTTGTATTTTTGTGTCCAGGTGGTATGTGTGGAGTTGGGCGGGTGTGGTCGTAGGCTCCACAGACATGTAGGTCTCAACAGTGTCCAGGATGTGGCGCTCTGCTGGTGGAACCAGGATGAGTCCAGTGAGGAGCTATGGCCCTGGACTCCCACAGATACACACAGGAATAACCTTGTCCTAATCAGCTGCTCACCTGCTGAAGGCCTGAAGGTACACACACACACACACACACACACACACACACACACACACACACACACACACAGAGAGCATAGCACAGGTATACTTATGATGGCTACATTAAACACAGGGAATTTCCAACTGTGCATTTCCTAGTACAACTTGTCAAAATTCTATGATAAAGGTTTAGTCAAACCGCTCAAAACTTTAAACCTCTTGTTTGGATTTTAAGACCTTAATAAAAAGGTTCCAATGAACACCACATGTAAGTCGAACAAACCCTGTATTCATTAAAACAGAGGAAAAGGTTGTGGAATGAAAACTATGAAAGACGATTACCTACAGGGAAACCAGAGCGGTAATGGTCTTTGCTCATTCCAATGTTTTACTGGTTTGGAGAGGGTTAATGAATTGGTCTTGGATGCTTTTGGGGTTACTGTGGGTATATCAGACATGTGTACATTTGCAGAAAATGATTACTCCCATCGTTTTCTTGGGAAGAAAGCTCCTACTCCCTGTGGAGCAATTCAAGCATCTTAAGTGATGACTGAGGTTGACATGGCTGGTGGATTTGAGCAGTGACATCACTCACAATCCACCTCACCTACGGGGCATTTAGCTGGTTTAGCTGGTTTCTTCTGACCTGGAGTCACAGTTTTATTCTGAGTTCCTCCTGACAGAACAAGCTCCTGATGCTATATCTAAAGCTGTGTGTGCTTTTATATGCTGTCTCATCTTTCAGTCACTGCCCACAGCACATGACCCTATGTAAGGGTGGGAAAGACCAGAAAATCTACACTTTCACCTTCTCTCTCAGCTCTCTTCACTGCAATAGATTGGTGCAGCAGCCACACTGCTGCAGACAATCCATATTTCAGTCTCCTGCTATAGAGTCTTGCTATAGTTGTCCAACATATTGGGTCTGATACAATCACTGGTCATGAGCGTGACATGTATATCGCACAACTGGTTGGCGAGTGCTTCCTGGAGGTTGCTGGCTGTTGCAAACGGTGCTGAGAAAAACATTGTTTTTATTGCTTTGGTCGCTAACAGATTGCAGCGGCTTCCTGTGCTTTGCTTTGCTTTGGATACCGACATATGTGCAAACATTTGCTGACTTCTTGGAAAGGGTGATGCAAACCAACAAATGTTTGCAATGCCAAGACAATACAAGTGGTTGTAGACAAAGCAGAGTCTTCCATGCAAACCACAGGCAAATGCAGCAATAGCAACCAAAGAAATTGCAAGGAGATTTTTCCTGACTGGCTGAGGAGTACACATTTTTCCCTAATCATCAGTGGTTGCCAGAGGGTCACTGACCAGTTTCTAGGCCTGTGTGATTAGGAGCTTAGTCATTTGACCCTACCATGATTGTCACATGCCCAAAATGGTGGACAAATTAAGATCACATGGTTAGTGGTCATGTGTCTGCAAAACCTCAATACTCTTCCCCCACTTAGGAATAGATGCTTAATGTCCTCCACTTGAAGCAACAACTGCTCCCAAACTGCAGTGAGCACCTACAGCCTTCCCTCGCTTCAGACTTGAGGTGCTAATTGTCATCCCCGCCACTTCACCACCAGCAATCGGGTTTAAGCTGGAAGTCATCAGTCGACATAGCCAACAGAACCAAATCGGAGATGTGATCCTGAGACCCCCACCCTGCCACCGATTAGCTGCACCTAGAATCTCTCTATAAAAGAATCTGTTCACCTCTACAAACCACATATGTCTTTTACCTTAACTTCTTAGTTAAATTACCTGACTACAAGTAGCTTTGAAATAAGTTGCAAAGACATTCATGTTTTCTTAAAGCCTAAAGTGTGATTGATTATTAAGTCCATATATTTTTGTAGTTTCACACACAGAGAGGCTTGCAGACACACTCACCAGACACCAGCGAGGGAAAAAGGGGCAACAAAGCTGCTGAATTTGAGGAGAGACCTGTGTTATTTTGGATGGGATTGGGGATGGTGTGTTAGTCACCTCAAGGGTGGTACCTCAGTGTTGCACCTTCATGCATCACCATATGAAAAAAGCAAGAGAGCTAAGCTGTGGTACAGCGTGAAGGAGAACGCCCACACATTCACGCACAGGCTGAAACGCACATCCTCGTGCCCTGTGGCAAAAACCCTACCCATGACCCGATTCTGTGTCAGTGTAGGATTGGCCTCATGCCGAAAGCAGATGAAAGATCCCAAATTACCAAACCGGGCTTAACTCTAACCCCGGTACGTGTACCTCAGTAAGCATATGCAAAATATTCGCCACACCAAAGAGAGAAGGGAGAAGGAGGAAAAATGAGCGTTACCAATCGCACGCTAGGAAAACAAATTCACGCAGCAGAGAAAGAGGGAGGAATTGGAGGTGTGTGTGTGTGGGGGGGGGGTGTACATGAATATTGAAATAATCAAAGCAGATGCTGTTTGCTGGTTTTTCTTCTTGTTTTTGGAACACTCGCCACATTTATCACACTCCTTCACCTAGTTTAGTCTGTGTCTCCTTCAACACCCCCCCCCCTCTCATCCTTCTCCTCCTTCCTTCCTCCTCGCTTCAAGAACATTAAAGTCTCTTCATGGGGCTGCGCCATCGCTCTCTAATGAAAGCGTTTGTTGTCATTTTTCAGATGCGCGGTGTGAAATTAAGCGAGCAGTTTATGTAAGAGCCGTAGCGGGAATCAAATGCTGGGCACACATCGGGCGACGCCAGCTACTTCAATCACTTCAAGCTCATATATATGTTCCTTTTGTTCAGTTCGCTATCTGCCGCACTAAGCCAATTTTCTAGCCAGTCTCGGCATTTAAAAAAGTCTGATTTCTTTCCCTATGTGGTCTTAATTCGTATACCCCCCTCGCCACCTCCTCCCTCCTCATGCTGATAAGTGGAGCCACGGAACGTGGGGGGGTAAAGAGAGGAAAACATACACAGTTGGTTTTTATGCAGGAGCCAGTTAACATTTTTAATGATCCTTCCTTCATACTTTATACACCCTCCCCCTCCAAACAAACACATAAATCAGCCATTTCCTGGAATTGAATAATCTTAAATGAAGTGAGATGAATGTTTTGTTTGCTTTTGCTTTTTTTTCCCCCGATTATTTCCAAACACTTTTTTTTTAACTGTATGTCTATCCTGTTATCTGTCACCAAACAGTCTGTAGTTGTTTGATCTGCATTTGTTTGTTGATTTGTGCTGTCTTTTAATTATTTTTTGACTTAAGAGTAGAGCAAAAAAAAAAAAAAATTCATAGAAATTAAATAATTTCTAATCTATATTTTATTTATTCTTCACTTCAAGAACACTGTGATGAAGAGTAAGGGTGCTTTTGAAGCAAGATTGCTGGCAAGACTTGCTCCTTAAAAATTAAAAGCTGCAGTCTTAATATGAAGAATTAAAGCACGTTTCAGAAATGCACTGCAAAATAATTTGTACCATGAAAGGGTCTGGTGCTGAATCCAAAGTGTCGATTTACCCCTAAGCTCCGCTGCTTTTTAAACATCACACTGGGAGCACTGCTGGTACAGTTTTGCGTCCAGTGAACGATATTCCCTCCGTTATTTTCAGCCGGGGAAGGTATGAGGAATATTTTGGTTCGTAATCCCGCTGTGCCTGTGCATTTTCTCACATCAGTACTTCAACTCTAACCCCAAATCACATACCTAAAACTTCCCCAGTCCCACCCAGCTATCCCCCCCTCCGCCTCCCCAAACACCCCTCATCCCTCGACTCTCCTCCAAGTCCCTCCGTCTCTCTCTATCCGTCTCTCCCTGTCTTTCTCTGCTCCGTGAGCTGGAAAATTGGCTTCAAAAGGCCACTGCTGTGAACAAGGGCCAGCCACACAGTTGGGCCCGTCCGCTTTATCTTTCACGCCATGGAGGGGGAAAAAAGGTGCCGGTGAGAGAGAGAGAGGAGAAGAATGGAGAAGAATAGTTTTGACCAGTCACTGAAACCAATAACCAGGAGAAAGCTACTTACTAGAAGTCTTTCTTTCTCTCTCTGTGTCTGTCTCCCTCTCTCCTTGTCTCTGCTCTCTTTGCATCTTTCTCCTCTCTTTATTCTTTTCCATTTCCACTCTTTCTCATCATCTTTTCTACATATTTCTGTCTGCATCCCCTTTTCTCTGTCTCTCTTTTGCACATCTGTTCACTCACTTGCTCACTCTCATTCTTGACCTGATTCATCATTTTTTATTTTATGCTCCCAGATTCAGGGAATGCTGTACATTCACATGCCACAATATACTCTGAAGAGTTCACAGGCAAACAAAGCTTTGCTTTTCTGGACACATTACGACACATCTCTACACCTTTTTTACAGGTCGATTGTTGTTTAAGGGCAGCTTGTTAAAAGAGGTGAAAAAGATTTGGCTTTGTAAATGATGAAGTCCCAGTGATTTGTAAATATTTACTGTGCTATGCTAAGTCTGTTTAAAATCTAAAGAGTAACACATCACCTACATCTTATTGTAGAGATCACACAGCCAACTGCAGGTCAACAGTTTTATCGTTTGTCTTTCTTCCTTTCTGGTCTTTAGAGTAATGTTAGCATTTCAAGATTATATTTTGGCCCTGAAAGGCAGAAACCTCCATAACCCTGCAAGTCTTGAATTTTCTTAAATATCCTAATCAGTTGTGTTGCCTTCAGGGACATTTTGCTTGACTTTGCTCAGTCCAGATGATGGAATATGAGGCGTACCTTCGACTTAAAGATTACCTGGAGTTACAATGCAACTACACTGGCTGTAGGAGTGTGGGTGCTTCTGGCACTGAATGTCGCTTTTAGCACTATCAAATGCATCCACTAAAATATTTGAGGCACTATTATACTTAAGGCCAGTAAATACAACATATTTAAATACACAGGTCAATGCATAAAAAAGTGAAATGGTGAAATGATGGCACTCCATGAGAATATTCATTGTAACTATATGAAATACAAAAGAGTGACAGATATATAACCAAACACAGTACTGGAGGGATGGAAGACCACTCTTCCAAGAGATGCTACCCCCTTAATGTTTTGATGAATGTACCAATAATGCACTCTCAACAAATCAGTCAAAAATCTACTTGAGGTGTCCAACTGGTTTGAGGTCGTAGCATATGCATCACATTAAGATTGGGAAAATGGATGAGACCACTCAAATAGAGAGAGCGTGATTGTGTGATAAACCTAAAGTCAGAGCATCTTTGTGAGCCCACTATTCCCCTAGTGGGCTCACACTGTGGCAGCTAATCACCTCCTACAGTTTAACGGAGCCATCATCTGCTCACTTCAGCAGTCAACTGTTCAGGATTGCCACTTCTTCTTGATCTTTGTGTTTTTGAACTTCTTAAAACAGCAGTCCCCAACCCCCGGGCCACGGACTGGTACCAGTCTGTGAGTCATTTGGTACTGGGCCACGAGAGTTGAGGCTGGGGAGTGAAATTCATGGTTTTCAGGGTTTCTAACAGTTTTTAGTGTTATTTTTTTTATCGTTTTAATCGCTAACTCAGTTTCCCTGGGTCTTTTCCCGTGTGTTATAAATAAATCTTCTTTTTTTTGGTACAATTACTGGTTTTATTTTGTTGTATTTATCCGCAACACCTTAAAGGGCAGTGCATGGAAAATATTGTCGGACATAAACTGGTCCATGGTGCAAAAAAGGTTGGGGACTGCTGTCTTAAATAACTTAAATATTTTCATTGGTGAGGGGGGGTTATGGGATTATGACCTGCAGCCTCATGGATTGATAGACTCAGGGACTTTTCACAGCCACTGTCTCTATTGAAACACTAGTCAGTTCAGTAGCCTGGATTCTGACTTCCATAATCCACTTTTCTAGTGACTTTAATCTTTTTCTTTTACTTTCTTGATACCAATTCTGAATTAAATGTGCCACAGAGCAGGATTAGATGATGAATATTATGTGCAATGGTGCTAAAGCTGGTTTAATATTTAAACTGTGAATAATGTTGGTCAGAAATATTTATAGAGGGGCTGAGAGTGTAATAAAGCAATTATCATCAGCTGTGTTATGAATATCCCAACTTGGGTTGAACATGCTGTTATTTTCTCACGTCATACATGTTTTTTGTGCACATTGTACATTTTTAAAAATGTAAATAGTGGCTGCTGCAGGTTGAATCCGCCCATGTAGTATTTATTTGTTGGCTCAGAACTTTAGCTGCCTCTGCCCTCTGATCCCTGTTCTTGGAGGGTCATCTGTCAGGTGAAACGGAGCTGAGTCAGCTGCACCTCAGCCCCCCGATGGTGCCATGGTGGCATGCAGGCTCACAGCAGGCAGCGGGCACTAGCAAGCCGGGCATGCGATGAAAAGCTGAAAGGATGGGATGTAGTTGAAGGGTGGGGGGTGTCACGGTTTGTGGCACTGAGGTAGGTCTTATGAGTCCAGCGTTCTGTAGGGTGAATACGATGGACCCTCACCTGCTATGCATTTGTGTGCTAGTTTATTTTCACGCATGTGTCACTTTGCAGAAATTAAGCTATCCAGAGAACTGCACCAGCCCCAGGATACACCACCTTTTACATGAATTGAGCCCCTCTACCCTGCTGCTTCAAATAAACACACACATTCACACGCAGCACCCACCCCCTGGGGTGCAGCAGGAGCTAGCTCTGGGGGATTATAGGGAGGAAAAAAAGCTTTCAGGAGGACAGTCATCTGCTTCTCTCCTGCTGTAGACCATGGGCAGGCAAAAAAAACCTGCCTTCCTCCCTCTAAGTCCCTTTTTGGCAATGCCTGCCAAAAAACTGGGCCGAGCAGCTTTGCAAAAGGAAAGGAAGGCAGGCAGGCAGGCAGGCAGCCGATCCTTCTTTCTGTCTACACGGCGAAAAGAAATGGGCTCATTTAGCCAAAGCTGCCACGGTCAATGCAGGGCTCTGATAGAGGCTTTGGTAAGGTGAAATCCTTCCTAAAAAGCTCTTTTAGTGACTGTGTAACTGTTGGACTGATGTTTAGTACAGCCTGTGTTCTCCTGTCATCCACGTACTGTTCCAGGTTTCTTGTGGGTGTTTATCGACACTACCACCCGTGACACGGCCTGTCTCCCTCAATGTCAGTGCTTGTTTGCATAGCAGGACCATTGTACCCACGCAAACTGGTTGTAGGCCAGGCAGAAATAATCTACATTTTGCATTTGACCACTGGTCAAAAAAATTCAAGATTTCTTCATGTATCCAGTGAAAAGGGCTCATTTTCTTGTCATTTGCCATGTCTATTGCTGAGCTCTTGGCTCCTCACACAGGTAAACAGAGGAGGTTGTTTATCATTATGTGCCAAGCCATGGCATGCTTAGGGAGAAGATGTTGTTGACCTTGAGTTAAAATAGAGCTCTTATCATTAGCTGTCTTGATTGACAGCTGGGTGTTTATGAGCAATATGGAAGGCTCCATTTCTTCCATCTCCAGGGGGTTTGGGGCTGCTGCCACGGCATGACTCATTTCTGTCTTTCTCTCACGTGTTCTGTCTTTGTCTCTGCCGTTTTATTCCAAAACAGGTTAGTTCAATAACAGTTGCAGCACAAAACAGGTTTCAAGTTAAAGAGCATGTTAAAACAGCAACAAAAATTAAAAGATCTTTGATGATGAATACAGACTAATAAAAACATTTTTTAAAATACACTATATCTACAATAGATGCAGTCCTCTTCCCCTAAAGTTTACAGTAATGTTTTTGTTCCTCGACACTGAGAGAAGACATCATCCTTCAAATCTTGTTTCAGCATGCTGGCATGCCTGTATCAGGAAGGAGGACTATGTTGATTTCAAACTCCACATTGCTCTTCTTGCTCTTTATTACAGTAGCTGTGCTTGATTCACTGTTTAAAATAATCCTCTCCTCATACTGGGCCTTGGTGGCCCCCTACAGTTCATGTCCGGTCTGAAATGTGCTGATTTAAATCCAGTTGTCTTCTGATTGGCTGCCTCTTGTAAACAGAAAGTTTGAACAGCAAATGAGGCATCTTGGGTCAAGCAAATTATTATTACAAATCATCCTCTGTGAATATGTGTACTTAATTTTCATATATAGATTCCATCTCAGAAAGGAATTTGCCAGACCAAACTGTGAAGCCTCCACCAGGGATGTCTGTAGACAGGCGTACCACGATCCTTCACACATGCTTCCATTTCCCGTGGAAACATTACATGCCAGGATATAGCCGTGCAAAACAAGATTACAAGATCATTTTTCTTCAACTTCGAAATTTCTCTTCATGCCATTATTTCTGAAGCTGTTCCCTTGTCCTCTCTAACTTTTTTCTCCTTCAGGTCCTAAGCTCAGTCCACACTGAAGGCAACCCTCTGGACTGCCGCTTCAGCCTGCTCCAGCCCTACCAGGTCCTAACAGTGGAGTTACCTGCAGGGCCTCAGGGATTCAGAGAGGAGTCCTGGGCTGATACCTGTGTGTATGAATGTGCACGAGGACGCCTGCACCGCCTTTCAGTCACCCGAATCCCGCTGTCATCTCACCCAGTCTCCTGCTCGCGTCACCCCTCTGAGACCACTCTGCTTCTTGGCTTAAGTGACTCCTCCTTAGTCCTGTACGACCAACGACGCGGGATCTCTTTCCTAGCCTCATGCCCCGTGCCGGCCACCCTCCTCGCCTGGCACCCTGCTGGGGCTGTTGTCATGGTAGGGGGAGGACAGGAGGAGCTGATGTGCTTTGATGTGGGCTTGGCACCTGTAAATATGGCGCTCGTATCAGAGGAGGTAGCTTCAGCTCCCACGTTAAGACTAGCTCAGCACCTGCGCTGTTCTGGAGGCCTGGCAGGACTGCAATGGGCGACTGGCTTGGATGGAGGCCCAGAGGGGACAGATATGCTCGCACTTTCTTTTCATGGTGGACCACTGGCAGCTTTGAGATTTAGACTAGGTAGGTAAAATAACATTGGACAAAAAATGGTCTTCTGAAATTATGAGGAATGTTTTGTTATTGTCAATCACCACAATCTTGTATAGGAAAAAAACAAGGGCTATATAAAAGATGCATATTGCTAGTGTGCTGAGACTGTTTGATAAATCTACAAACCATGGATATTGGCTAACTCGTGCTAACTTAACACATAAATTAAATAGCAGAATCTCATGCACTAAAATTCTTCTTGGATGTTAGGACAATTAATGGCACAAAAAGACATAAGCTTCAGATAATTGCTATACAAATGGTCCAAAACAAACCAACACCAGAAAAACTGATTAGAGGAGGCATCTTGTAAGGTTCAACCTCGAAGTGGCCATGCTACTGACCGTAAACCTAAGTCTAAAGTTTAAGGCCTCCGTTTTGGAGGCCTAGAGACTGGTTAATGACCCTCGTGGTAATCACTGGTTGCTAGGGAGAAAAGTGGGTTCCCTGATCAGCTGGTGAGTAGATGCCGCAGTCATCTATAGATTGCATAGAAGATGCCAACTTGCCTGCAAACAGCTGGCAACAAAGCTATGTTCAGCTGTCATGGAACTGAAGTGTGCAACGCAAACTGGAAATGGAGACCGTTTGCCTGCAGAGTAGAAGTTGCACTTTTTTATATAGTTGCAGGGGTAAAGCACATCTTTCATTTTGAAAGCAAACACAGTGTGAGTTTGAGTATTTGCAGACAAGTCAGTGACTTCCATGCAAGGTACGGTTGACCATAGCAAAAGCAATCACAGGGAGATTCCTGGTACAACACCCCATGTAACTGAGGCCTCAACAAATGTGCTGTAAGGACCCCAAAACCTTTTCTGAACTTTGTAAAGTTCAATATTTTAACTTCTAAGTCATGGAGATTAACTTTTTTTTTTGCAAGTTAGCCTCAAGTGGCCACTCAGGCTATTGCAGTTTTTGACATTTGACCTGCTTTTCAGCCCTGGAGGTTGCCACTTGGAATAAACATGTGTAAAACAGATGGATAATGAGATCCATTTTTCCTGTTTTACCTGTTTTCCTGTTTTGAGTTCTTTGTATTTCTTACTCCTTGTGCCAAGAATAAGTTCCCTCACATTTGTTTAAATTTTACATTACACAGTTCCAAGTAGAAAACACTTCAGGCACAGCCTCCCTTTCCTAATGAAGGTGCCTTCCTCCCTTCAGACACTCTTGCTCTGTTTTGGATCTGAAGCTGTGTCTGAACCCGCCTGTGTGAATAGTGCTGTCAAGCTGGTCGTCCCAGTACCTTTCCACTCCTGAAGGAAGTTAATTTGTTGACAGGCGGGAAGGTTAGCGGGAGTCACGCTCTCAGAGGTCATTCAATAATCGCCCCGGGGCACGAGCCCCCGAGGAGCATTCTGGGATGCATTTTTCCGATAAATCGTTTACAGTGGCTGCAAAGTCCCTCGGGGTCCCCAGATAAAGTTTGCCAATCAAAATTTTTACGAAGCAGCCACCTCACCCTCCGAAGCACACTCACATATTCAGCATCTTTAATTGTGACTTTGGAAAGAAGATGTGACAGTGGCACGCAACTCTCTACCGAAGTTTGAAAGCAGGAGAGTGAGGGTGGAGGGAGGAAGGTAGTAGAAGTGTGCATTTGAAATGTGTGTTTGAGGGGTGTGTGTGTGTGTTTGACTGTGTTTGCCTGTGTGCACAGGGAAAGAGGAGGGTGTCTTCCAACAATAGCTTCCGCTCCTCTGATCGTCTGCCAAGTATTTGATGAAGAAAGTCACTGCACGTCTTTTCTCCATGATAATTCTCCCCCCCTTCACACATGTGTGTATTCTTCTATTTCTGTGCTTCTGTTCGTACACACACACACACACACACACACACACACACACACACACACACACACAGACTTTCACTCCAACTCATTTGTTTGCTTCTTCTCTGTATTGACTTGTTTCATAAGGCCCGCTACATGACAGAAGGAGTGAGTCGTGAGGCGGTTAGGAAGAAAGACTTGGCCAAGCTCCAAGTTCTCTCTTTTCCATAGGAGGCAGCTCTCCCCTGGTGCCCCCTCCCACCCCCACCCCCCTGCCTGCACCGAGTTATCTCATCTGGGCACACGTTGGCCATGGCTGGGCCTGCACTGGTACAGGCTGTGGAGGGGCAGACTGGGGAATGTGCTGCACAGCACCCAAGAAAAAATAGCAATTTCTTTTTTTTGTACAGATGGGAAAACAGGGAAATATTAAAGGACAATGATGTAACTGTGTGTGGAGAATGAACCCAAGCTAATGCTTCTTTCATTGGCTATAAAAAAATTCACTAGGTCATCAAGGTGACTTGGAAGTGAGTTTGTTGATCTGCTGCGCGAGCAGGGTTCATACTCATCTAGCCTGGCATGTATTGTTTGTCAAAATTAGTGAGCAGAGTTATCCATCATTTCTAAGATGGGTTTATGGTCTGTCAAAATTACATGTTTGATCGCAACATCAGAAATCCCCACTCGTTTCCAGTGATTTACCCACTGCACACCGTTATTAGCCACCTGTGCAGAGGTGTGAGAGGAACCAGATACATTACTTCACATGCTAGATTTTTTCCTTTTGTTTTTGTATTTGTTGCTCAAGGATTTGTGGCACGTTTCATGTGTGTGACCAAAAGCTACTTCATCATTGTCTTCCCAGAGAGAATGGGCTCTTTGACTTGTTTTTGGAGACAAAAAGTTGATCTTAAAACTGATTAAAACTTGAAGCATAGCCTATCATAGACGTTTTATATGGGTCCCATTGTCCTCAGTTCTGCATGTGTTTCCACAGTGTGGTGGTTATTATATTCAACTGACACCAAACCAGAGATGAAACACAAGCCCACTCATAAGCCAGTGCACTCCTACTGCCAGTACCCAGCATTGATTAATGAGGATGGAGCCATCTGTGGCCAGAAGTACTTACTTGAGTAGGTACTCCAGTAGCTTTACTTAATACTCACTTCTAAAAATAAAATCCACATTTGCCTAATACTGTGCCTGGGTGAAACCCCTAGATTGGTACTAAGGAGCCAAAGTCTGCCAAGGAAATATCCTCCCACACCTTTACACCACCAACAACATCAAACTGACGTTTGACTCAAGCCAGTGTGACCCTACCATCTAAATATTGCAATAGAAATCTAGACTCAACAGACCAGGCAACTTTTTTTCAAATCTTCCTAATGCCTAAATTAATTGACTTGCTGCCATATGATTGGATGATTTAGATTATTGTGCTAATGTGAAGTTCAGTAGCTAATGAGTTTATGTGACATAATAGTTCCAAGTTAACACGTTTTGGTTTTTTATGTTTTAGACCAAGGTCTTTCATATTTTTAGTCATGTTTATGCTACGTTCTGTGTTTCTCCATGCTGGTGCTGATCTTGTCCTGCTCAGTGTTGTTTGTGCACAGTCAAATAAGTCAGTGTGGACAGGTGTGATCCATTGTCTGCGTCAGCTTAGAGCAGATGTCAGCGCCCAACTCCTGGACTCATACATGCAGTTAAACACATACAGTACTCAAAAATCACAGACAAGCAACTTAGCTGATGTATTAGCCACATTAGCCCACTCTTTAGGGGATTTGGTGGTTTGCTAATTGCCAGCTTGTCATTTTAATTGCTCATACCACCCCCCGCCCTACAGATACTAATTAGACTAGAATCAGTAGTGAGTTTTTCTTGCCTGCCTGCAGCATGGCCCATTGACAGTACTGCTGACAGTGATCACCTATTATGCCACTAGCCATGTCCAGAAATTTTGGTAAATATATACACTTTAATACATACACAGCAGAGTGTTAAATGTTGCATGCATGTGAAAAAGGCTAGTTCAGAAGTGAGGTGAAACTACTGTCAGAACATGGTCCTGTACCAACTTGTCTCACGCAAATCAGAATGAGCCAGGGAGTCCTCCATCTGCTGCATTATGTACCTTCGTGATTAAGTGACAATAGAGCATAATTACCCCTGGCATTCAACACCTTCACCTGTATATGTGCTTTGAACTTTAAGAAACAGAGTGAGACACCTCTGCTGCGGTTAAGGGTACAAAATGCCATTCTTCCATTATTCAACATGTTCCTTGTCTGCACAAACAAAAGCACAGTCAGTCATCACTGATCAGAAGGTACAGTCCATCAGAGCAGTCCTCAAATGATCTTAGGGTAAAGGTCACTCTATGTTATAATATCGTTTGCAGTAGCACACAGACACACCCCATAAGAGGCTGGTTACACCCTAAAAAGGTTTCCATTCTGTTAAAGAGTTAAATATTTCAATAACATGTAGGCAAGTTATTTGAACATATGCTAACATGCACTCTGCTCAGTGTTAAAGGACGAGAAGCTTGCTTTTATTTTGCATTTGCACACAGAAACTGATGGACACAAAGTACACATGAGGGCTTGAACACACTTCCTCTCTAATTGATTGACGAGTCGATGCTGGTCTAACAAATCTAGTGCTGCCTCAGAGTCAGAACTGATCCACTGGACACTCACTTAACTTAAGTAACTCCTCCAGGTTATTCTGCACGGTCACAGAATCATTATCACACCAACTGTTAAAGCTTAAAGAGAATTTTCCCTCTTTGTAGCACAGAAAGATGAAAATATACTGTATCATTCAATACTGTGGTGGACTGGTATTCATGAGCTGGGATAGGCCTCCAGCACCCGCGCTACCCTAAATTGGATAAACTGTTAAGGGTATAAATGGAAAGGAAAAGATCAATAATCACATACTGCTCTATCATCAAAATCTTAGAAAAAATATAAATATAGAAACTAAACAAAAATGTATAAAAATGAAGCAAAAGATAGAAATACTGAATAAATTATTCCTATTTTTGTTGGTTTCTTAATGCAGATCCTTAAAAGTTGTTCTGAATGAATGCAATAAAACACATCTATCTTCTATTTCCCAGGATCCATTAGGGCATAAAGGAGTTACTGAAAATGATGTGAATCATTTAGTGTGGTCTTCACAATGACCTACAGGACATTTTGTACCATTTTGTTAGACACCATCACCATAACGCCAAATGAGGAAAATCTTTTTAAAAAAACATCATCCATCCATCCATCCATTCGCTACCGCTTTTTCCTTTTCAGGGTCGCGGGGGGCGCTGGACCCGATCCCAGCTGTCGTAGAGCGAGAGGCGGGGTACACCCTGGACAGGTCGCCAGTCTGTCACAGGGCTAACACACAAGGACAGACAACCATTCATACTCACATTCACACCTAGTGACAATTTGGATTTTCCAATTAACCTATCCCCACAAAAAAAAAAACATCTTCCTTTCCAATTGATTCTCCGAGAGACTTGGAGAATCAATTGTGTGCTATGTAGCAGCACCTGATTAAACCTCAGTTTCCCAGATATGCATAAATCTTTGCCCTAGAGTTTAAATCTTTTTTCAGTGGTAGTTTTGTCTGAATTTTTGTTTTAGTATGGGACTAGGCTCAAACCATGTATGTGAAACCTATTGTGTCTGCTGGGTTTTCCCTTAAGTCAATGCCCATCTAGATCAAAACTGGATTATTTCATAAAAATCTTTTCTTCGTCTTTTCTTAACCACATTATTATTATTTCTTACAAACCTTTCCTCAATATGACAGGAGCTCTCACGGGGGGACAGATGGGTCCAGGGGAGCTACTGCAGCAGAGGCTACGTTGTGGTCAAGTCAGAGAGGCACTGGGCATACTAGAGGCCATGGACTGGAGCACCATGGGGGATGAGATGTACCGAGGCCTGAGCTCAGTCACTAACCACCTGCTGAGGATGGAGCTGAACCCAGAGAGAGAAGGTGGCTTTGATTGGTTTTACATTTCCTGGTGATGCTTATCAAATCGAAATCGCTGCTTTTCAAATTTCATGAGTCTAACCTAACCTGTCGACTTTCAGTGCTTGAAGATTTTTTTTATTTACCTTTCATTTCGTCTACATTTTGCTGTATTTAGCACCTCCATGTACTAAACCTTATGAATGCTTAGATATATTTGATATATTTTGGATGTTTTTCTTTCAAATCTTAGTTTCCTTTCATTTAGTTGTTAACTTTTGCTTTTAGTTGGCTTTTAGTCAGTGAGCCTTTGATTTGGCACTGTCTCTTATAAAATAAAAAAGTATAAAAATCTCATTTTTGTGCAGAAGAGCAACAAATTTTACATTGCTAGCTTTAGAAACGCACATCCTTAAACATTCTTGGCTAATTTCCATGCAAACATCACATGCATTTCCTAATTTTGTGTGTGTTTCTGATCTGTCTGTAGCCCAGCTAGAAGCAGCTCTGGGTGTGTTTTATGCCCCACCTGTGCCTCTCTCTGATACAGTAATACTGGAGTACAGGGAGCCAATCAGCAAGTACGCCCGGCGCTTTTTTCACCACCTCCTCAGGTAACACCACTCACTCTGTGCTGTTGCTGTGGTCTTAATTAAATGGACTGAGGGAGAAATTTACTTTGTGCATGTCCTCAAGGGGTCAAGGACTGTGTTTTGTACAGCTCTCCTGAAATAAAAAAAAAAATGTAGACATCTAAAAAGTAAAAGCATTAAGAGTACATTCCTCAATCAGGTTCCAGATCTCTGAAGACTTTGCACAGACAAATACATGCACAGACTATTTTCAAGGGATTACTGGAACATTTAGTGCAGTTTATCAGCACAGGGTGGAGAATCAGAATAAGAAATAATATCCAAAAACCTCTTTCAGAAACAATTTAACACTGCTTATTTCCTTCTCTTTATTGCTATTAAAAAATTCTAAAACAGAAATAGCTTTTGAATTTCATTGCACACACATACTGATGCAGCTTTGAGTCATTCATAAGGCAAAGCAGCACGCATGCACCTGTTTAGACTGTTGTTTCATTTTCCCTTCTGCCATGAGAGCCTTTTGAAACGCCTGTTTGACTGAAATAGACCCTGTTGTTCCCACACACTGCTGCTCACTGCTCTCCATCCTGCAATTACCCCCCGCTCCCTCTCCCTGTCTTTCTTTTTCCTCCTCTGTAGCCGAGCTGGAGCGTTGTTTGGCATCCCTCGTCCTCTCCTCTCTTATCACCTACCTGCATTCTTTTTCTCTCCATCAACATCAAATGAAGGAAGGCGCCCCCCTTCCCGCACCTCCTCCCCGCACCTCCTCTCTCCGCTTGTGTTTGTTTGTTTCATGTCGGCTGTAGCCGGGGAAAGTTGAGGTGTTTTGTACTGGGAGATACAGCTCTCTCTCCCAGCTTTAATTCTGGATAATAGGAAAAGAGCTCGCTATTCTCAGTTCAATTATTGACAGTGTTGAATGCAGAGGTGCATGTGCATGTCTGTATTGAGGCGTGTGTCTACATGCAGACCAAAGCAAGCACGTAAATGTACCTTAGACTTATTTAACTATGCATTTTCATTCAAAGCATGTATTTTTAGATTGATGATTGTTTTGCTTTCATGTTCAGGGTGTTGTCTTTCTTTTTCACTGTCTCCTTTTTTCTCTGCAGGCACCAGTGTTTCGAGAAGGCCTTCCTCCTCGCTGTAGATTTAGAAGCCAGAGATTTATTCATGGTGAGTAGAAAGAAAATTTCCTTTTATGTGCTTTCTTGAGGGGGAAAAGAGTCACAAAAAGGGTTGTTGACATCAAAACAGAATCCACAAGGAAGCCTTTTTTTCTTAAATAAAATATATAATTCCATGGACATTAATTATCAACTAATTTAACAAATGAACTAATGAAAATAGCCAATGATTCAAGGTTTAAAATCATCCGTATTTATGGGATTTGGTGCTGCTGATCAGTTTTATAGCTCTTTTGAGACCATCTTCCTGTCAAGCCAACTTACTTTAAAGTGAATGCTGCTCACAAACAGACTATTTACCCAACAAGTGGGTTGCTTACAGTCAAAGCTGTGCATCTGAGACGACCATATAAGGATATCCCTCCTGTCTGACATCATGCAGAACCAAAAGTAGAAAGAACTGTGTGACATTGAGTGTTTAGCAGAATCTGAACCACAAGCTTCTGGCTAACAGGGATTAACAAACTACGGTACACATATAATATCTCTGAAATTTAGAAACCTTTGAGCTAGAGTATAAATTTCAAATTTATATGCCATTGGCTTTTAAATTAAATGATATTTAAAATATGCCAGTGAAAATAGAATGGCATAGCATGTACCACACATGTTTAAAAGATCCCTTTCTTGCAATTTTAGTCCAAATTACCACTGCATGGACTGAATCTGTCATGACGTGTAACATGCTTACCGCCATTTTTCTTCATTCATCAATACCTGTATTTGTTTCGAAATACCTGCTTTATGACATTAAGTATGACACATGTCTGTAGACTATTGTTATACTTTATGCTAAGTCTTGTCTTTCTTGGGCACCTTTTATAATGTATTCATTTTCAGCAGTCAGGTTTGAACGATGAAAACTCTGAATCTTTTCTTTTTTGTCTGTTGAAGAAAGTGTTAAAGTGCAAGGAACCCAACTCATAAAAATAGATGAACGGATACCAGTGAATATTTGGAAATTCTTTCTCATAATCACTTATAATATTACAGTAAAAAAGTTGTGAGCTCTGATAACTGTTTGTTTAAGCTTATCTTTATGCCTTTTTTCTCTTAAAAAAATCTGGAATCTGTGTACATGAACCTTTTCATCAGGTCTTCTTAACATGTTTACTCTAGATTATGTTAGTGAAATAAAACATGTTTGGTGTATCTGCTCTAGATGGACTCCTGAGGGTTAGATGTTGACTCATGCGCTATAGGGAGCTTCTCTGCAGCTCTTCCACTGGTATAAAACCTATTATAATTGCTCATTCACTGTTGCACCCTTGTTACTTTCATTTGCACATGACTTGTAACCCATACAAGTGTGTGTGTGTTGCGTGTCAGAGAGCAGGTGTGATCTCAGTATGGGCCTCTATCTTTTCACAACCTCCACGGCCTCAGCTCAGCCTTTTCCTCTCCTCTCATCTTCGCTCTAACTCGTTCTTTCTTCCACTCCACGCTGAAATGCTCCTATGTGTTTGACCCCCTTTTTCATGGGGCCCCTTTTGCTCCATGCTTCACCAACACCCCAGACATTAATACAGACCCTCTTACACACATACACACACTCCTCTTGGTCCCTCAATCACACTGATAGCACTGGTTCCAATTCCCTCCCCACTAAGTAGTGCTGCTGGGAAGCCGAATTGAAAAGGTGGAGTCGAGCCTGTGAACCTTGAAAGAGTGCAAAGGAAAGAGGGGGGCAGAGAGGGGAGGGGAGGAGGCTGTGGTGTAGATGGAAAACTAAATGATAAATGTAACACAAAAATGATGGAAGGGGGAGATGAAACTGTGTCCAGATGAGTGAGAGGGGAGAGAAAGCTGTAATCATAATACATTTCAGTGAAGGGTATGAACTAGCTTCGATGGGTGGAGTCAGTTACAGGACAAATCAGCCCGAGCGGAAGGCGGCCTGTACTGTCAGCAAAGTAGAGGTCAAGAAAATCAGTCCAGAAAGCCTCTGCCATATTTTCCATATAGCTTCATGTACTTTCACAATCTTCTTCTGTCATCTTTTTTTTTTAAATGATTCGATGCAGATATGATAACTTGTATCTTTAGTCAGAACCACTAATGTGATTGCAAAACATGATTGTAAAACATACCTCTGTCATTGCTCTAAATTCTTCTTTGTCTGCCATATTTTCTTAAAAACATCAAGATTATAGCTCCCATTTTTAGCGACTATAATTTGTCATGTATTTGAAAAGATATGGGACACAATAAACAATGTGGCTCTGACAGTGATAGAGAAGCCTTCCTAAATAAGCTTCATCTCAGGTAAAAGTCCACACACCTTTTTGAGTAATGTTGCCCCTAAACAGACAAGAAGATCTAGTTAAATCACGAAATTGTGATTAGTGTATTACTAACTGGTAAAATGAGGCTTTTTCTTTTTCTTTTTTCTTAAAAAAAAAAGCGATTTCCCTCACAGAGAGGATTTGGATCACAGCAGCAAACAGAACGTGACCTTGAAGCCAGATTGTGTGAAGCTGGTGTGATTTTTATCCGGCACCGTTGTGTCGGTGTCCACTGGCTCTCGGGACTGGGCGAGATTTCATGGGTATGGTTGTGGAGCCAGGTCACTCACTTCTTGTTTGAGAAAAGTAAATGTAAAAAATCTACGCATGGAGATAAATGCATCTCTAACATATATATGTAAATATAAAAATGATGTATGTGAGAGAGCTGTTTCTATGGACAGGTGACATCTTTCTGAGCTCTTGAACATCATTTGACTGCCCTATTTTACTCTCCTTTTTTCTTTTTCTTTTACAAACAAATTTCAGAGACCGAATTACTAAGCATCTGCGGATCCCTTTGTGGTGGCCCATTATGGGAATTCTCACCAAATTTAACAGATAATTGCAAGTCCTTGTCATGCTGGATCTGTAACAAAGTTCAGGCTCAGTCACAACAACCTTTTTCAAGCACTTTTTTGCCTCAGCGACCAAGAGAGCAGCACCTCATTGTGCACAAAGAGCGAAAGAGAGAAGGAGGACGTTGACATTTCACCCCTTGCTCTGTCCTTCTGTCTAATTAGGTTGTGTTGTTGCTTTAACCCGCTGGTTTGCTGATCGAGTCGAGGTGGAGGAGGTTAATGAGGGCAACCCCCACCTTCGCCAAACTCTTTTTAACTACCAAACTCGCCCATAGAACTCAATAACGCACCGTCGACTTGGTAAAGAGCACACACATGCACACAGATAACATGCTCACCTCTTCTAGAAATGCTCAGCATGATACACCCCCTCTATCATCAGACCCCGGTCCCCTCTTGCCCCATTGTTTCCCAGCTAACAATAGAGGCCCTCCAAGCCTTTTTTTCCCCAAAAGAAGAAACCTTTTGTTAAAATGAAACACTTGTGTCGGGTTAAATTGAGGGGGAGGAGGAATTGGTGGTGGTGGTGGAGGTTGGTGGGGTGTATGAAGAGTTGGTAGTGGGGGTTACTGAGTCGTTTGCATTTTTTAAAAATAATTGATGCTGTTTAGTAGCTCCCTAATTAGCCTTTGATAATGAGTCGATAATGTAACCAATTAGGTCATTCGCCAGCCAAGTCAAGTTTTCTTTCCCTCCACCACCTCCCCTTTTTCTTCTTCTTCTCTTCCTGGGTTTTTTTGGCTCTTGATGTAGCATGTTAATTAAATCAAATTGTGTGATAGCCGAAATCTGATGCCGGCTCTTTTGTTCCCCAGTGAGGGGTTGTACTTTTTCTTGTTAGATACACAAGCAGTAAGGCGAGCTGCATGTTTTCGGTTCACCCTCTATCTTCCTCTCCTATCTGATGCCAGGCTTGGCATTGCTGTAGGTGGAGGAGGAATTGCACATCTTTGGCAGTAAGCTCATTGTTGTTGCTTAGATAAGCAATTAGCACAATTAAAGTCCTTAAGGCCTATCAGATAGAAGTCAAACACAAGACTCCTGGATAGCAGATGTGTCAGAAAACAAATGTGAAACGGATACGCTCATGTACAGAAGATTAAACTTTATGTCAGGTTGTTAATATGTTTTTGTGTGCATGTGTTTGCACCACCCAGCAAAAACTAATTTGGTTAAAAAGTAAAAGGTGAAAAGGCATCTTTTCACATCATTGATAAGATTTCCAAAAACCAATTTACATGTAGATCTGTTTGAAAACTGAAAGGAAATCTCTTCCTCTTCAGCACCTTGGCAAATGTGCTGTTTGGTAATATTGAGTTTGGTGTGCTGAAGGTGTAAGTTTTGACTGTGCATAGGCTCACACAATAAACTATCACCTCATAGCAAAAAGGTTCCTGGTTTGATTCCAGGCAGTGTATAGAGTTTGTGCATTTTTTCCTCCAGAGACATGTATGTTTGGATGAGTGGTGATTCTAAGCCGGTTGTGGATGAGCAGTGGAGAATACAGCACTGTATGAATGTGTGATTAGTAGCATAAACTGCTTTGAGAGGTAAGTGAGACTAGAAAAGTGCCAATGCTTTTCCAGTCTGGTCACATTAGTGAATGGATGGATGTTGTGTGGCTATCTGATCACAACCATTCGACAACAAATTAATATGTTGTAATAAAAAACAAAGTCTCTGCAGATTGGCAAGTAGAACTGTTACTGAGATTACTGATGAAGTGTAGGAAAAATGCTTGGAAAACCATCGTAGTAACTCGATAGTATATCTATATCAACAGAGCAAGGAAGCCTATCCTATCGGTTTATTCTGTGTGCAGACTTTTTGGGGTCACCTGTTTGAATTTTTCACCAAACTCTATTTTTCCTTTCCGCTTTTGCAGCAGTGTTCAGGCTTGATGATTTAAGCAGTGGGAATGATTGTTGTGAGGCTCAGGCCATTTCATTATTACCACTGTTAGCAAGAAAAATTCTGCTGCAGTCCTGGAAGTCTGAGACACATCCAACCTTCGATAGGTGGCTGAAGGAATTAGGAAGTGCGTGACACCTAGAGAAAAGTAGATATAATATGTTTTTCAGGTCTCTTTCAGAAAATGTGGTTACTAATCACCAGTCTGATAGGAAAGTTGTAATTAAACTTTACTGATCTTCAGGATTAGCAGTCACACTGCACTATGAATACTTATGTATCATAGTTTGTATGTGAGCCTCTGTCATTGTTCTCTCTGTTTCATTTTTGCATATTTAACATCTTTAAATATGTCGCGACTGGACGATCTTTGGTAGAATTGGGTGGGAGGAATTTTGTCCAGGCTTCTTCTCACTATTTAACTGAATATTCGTTGGCAGCCGTTAAATGATAACTGTGTCCTTAAACATTTCAGCAGCCACGTGAGCTCAAAATTTAGTTTATTATTTAGTTAGAACTTGTAGGACTCACAGCTATTTGTGTGTGTTTATCACCAGGGATAGCCGACTAGGTCCAGGTAGATATTTTCCAGTGTGTCTGCTTCAGAGGTAATCATCAGGATTTAATGCCACCCCCATGAATCAAAGAGCAAAAGCTGTGCCCGTACTCATTCACTAATCCCTGCATGTTGAGATTTCAGACGTGTATAAGTGACCATCATCATTTTGACTCCGGGCTCACAGGTGCATCACTGGAATTCACAGAGCTATCAAATGCCAGGCATTACAAGAAATAAACCACATGATCAAACTGACCTTTACGTGTAACGCTGCAATTTGAATGTATGAGTGGAATATGTGTGTACTGTAAATATACCAATAACCCTTTGCTTTTCAAGTGATGTGTTGTCCATGTCCACCCACTTGATTTGCTTTTATTAAAAGTTGAAAAAGGTGGGCAACAAATAAGAATACATTCATATTTGGTTGTTAGTTTGATGTCACAAATAGGCATTGATTTATAAGAATAAACTGTAAAGTTTGAGGCAATAAGGAAAGGCACAAAAAATGCATTGAAAATTACAGAAGAATTAAAAATCTACAAATATCTGATTATTATTATCTGAATTATTTTGCAGTCTCTGCAAACGGCCACACATCCATAGGGCACTGAGTTTATATGCTGTTATCGCTCCATAATAAGCTTTTGTGCACACATGCTCGCCTAAAAAAGTGCAGTGCACTTTGTGTATGCTCATGCTCATCGATCCTGAGTCCAAAGCCAACACGTCACACTGCAAACATACAGACACGAGCCCGTCAGTTAATGTGCTGTAAGCGCTGCTGTGTGCCAGTTAACCTAATCCCTCATTTATTTGGAGGTAACCCAAATATCAGGCAATATCGGGCTCTTAGCATCCACCACTTCCCTCCCCTCTACTCCCCAAATATGGCCCACTAAAACGCCCCTCTTTATCGGTGCGGTTAGCTGGCTCGCTGCAACCCCTAAAGCTCTTATATAAATAAGATTAGTGTCGCGTTTGAGCGTTGGGGAATAAGAGGTGTAATATCTGATGGTTTTATATGCAGTATTATTGTTATCCCTTCTTAGTCGGGTTGATACTCCTCTCTCCCTTTCTCTCTCTTTCCAGCTCTCAGTTGTCTCTCTATCGTTTCGCATTTGTTCACTCGTCTTTCACTGGGTCTCTTTCCTCAGATTCAGACAGCATTATGAGGGGCTAAGCTGGAATAAAGCGCCCCAACATCAAATGTTCATATTGTTCTGTTCTGTCTGTCATCCCGCTCTCTCTTTCTCTCTCCTTGTTGTTGTGAGTTTTGCTTCCCTTTCGTCTTTTTACGTCTTGTTCACCCTCTCCCTTCCCTTGTGCTCTGTCACTCACGCGCCTCTCCATCATTTCACTGTACTGCCTCCTCTCCCTCCTCGTCTGTTTAATCTTGTGCTGCTCTGTTTGTTATCAATTAAGAAGCCTCACTCATATCTAATTGAGGGGCCATGTCTCCTCGTTCACAGGGGCTCAATTGGCCACCTCAGTCCTGGGAGCCGATTTAGGCTCTTTTGAGGCCATTTTGTTGTCGGCCATTTTCACATTTCCTCCTAACTCTTCGCCACAGAGGGCAGGCACCGCACTATAATTACCCAATCTGTTCCCATTCATACTCCTCAATTTCAGCACCTCTCTCCCACTCTCTCTCCCCTTTACTCTCGCTCTCTGTCTGCTTCAATCCCTCTCTGCTCCACACCTCTTTTGGAAACCAGCACCCCCCTCTCTCTTTCCTCTGGGGGTACAAAAGCTGGGTTACAATATGGGGGTATTAGGGCCGGGTGCAGACTCAGCTGGGGGCTGGCTTTAGCCAGCTGAGGGTTATCCATGGCGAGCCCTGAGTCACGGCAGTGATGTCCTGTGATGTCGCTGAGGCGGAAGACTTTCCTTAACACGCTGTACCCTTTGATGGAGCCTCAGGCCCTGCACTCAGCCCGGGGAAACCCTGCGACTCTCACTCGACCCTCGTGGGGTGCCAGGATGAGGGTTTGATTCACTCCCACTTCAATCAATTCAAGAGGTCGAATGTTACAGAGGTTCTGCCATTATTACTGCACAGACTTTAACATTTTCTCACATTTGTATAGTTTGTATATTTGGCCTTTTCAGCAGCGTTGCTAACACATTCACAGGATGCAACAACTGCAGCAACATGGTGATGATGATGATGCTTCCAGTGTCTTTACATGAAAACAACAAAGCCAACCTTTAACATCTGCCCTCACAAATGTACAAGTGATCATCGTGCAGGATATGAAGCATAAAGCTTTCTTCCTTTTATTCTGAAATTCATTGAATGAACTAAGCTGCTTCACTCTCAAAATACACGCAAATTATCTATAGACTGATCATTATAGTATGTTGTATTTGCCTTTGATATCCAAAAAGTCTGGTTAATTGGGTGTCCCTGAAAGCTTAACACACATGCAAATTAAGAAAATGCCTGAAAACAATTTGACAAAACAAAGTGAATAAACACAACCAAATACAGAGCTCCCAGGGTCTTTCTACACTATAAACCTTTTTTTTTAGTATTCATATTTATCATTTCTAGATAAAACCTCTTGCGAAATATGCCTCGGTTTTCAAGGTGGTCCAAGCAAGCATTCATACAGTGAATGGAAAACCTAATGACATAAAACAACCAACAAACCGAAAGAACAAAGAGTCCAGAAAAAACAAAGTTTCATTTAATTGTTTAAACAAGTGACATGATAACAAGCAGTGGGTATTTAAAGGTAATTAATGTATTAACTTCCTTAGATACCAAGAGGACAATTACAAGTATCTGATGTGACATATAGTTAAAAAAAAAAGCAGTACAAAAAAAACCTTCTCTTTGTTTGATGTTGGTCAAATTCAGACAGTTCATAAAGGGAAAATAAAGTTGAGACCTCAACTAATGTTTGGAATTTCTACTTTCAACTTCAGTGCATAACAAAACTGTAAGCTTGAAGATGAAAAGCTCGGGCTCTTTGAATGGGAGGATTTAGAAACACGTCTCATTTTGTTCATTATCAATCCAGAGTGTGAGTTAGAGGAAAAACTACAGTTTTACTGCCATCTGATCAAAATTGCAAATGAGAACGTCTCAGCTGCAGCTCTTCCAAATCTGATGCAACAGAAACGTCTCTCTGAACGTACCAGGCTGGACAGCCTTCAATAAATCTGCACCAATTGTGTTTTTGTAACCTGGACACAGAACGTGTGGCTCTAGGGGGAAAGGCCCTTTGCAAAACGCTAGAAGCACCTCCTTTATTTTATTTGTTTCTGGCATTTTCGAAGCACATCACTTAAAAAAAATATAGATATTTTTGTATTTTTCCACAATTTAATAAATAATGAATTGACCTCTGCCTCGCTTGTGGAAGCAGATGTAATACTCCTACAACTGAGATGTAATACTCAGTGTGGTTGTTAATGAATATGTGGCAGCGCTGGGCTTTAAATCAGCCACCCTCAGACATCATTTAGCCACATTATCTCCATCTTTGTGGCCATGTGAGACTCAAACAGAGAGATACAGAGGATACATGCTGTTTCCAATATTGTCGCAGGCTGATATCGTAATGTGCTCAGCTGGATATGTTTCTCCGTAAAGAGAGAATACCAGCGTTTCTGAAAGGTGAACAGTCCCTCGTCTCCTCTCACACTTTTGAAATGTGACTGATAACATCCTCCGTAGTTCAAAACCAGGGAAGCGGGCGTGATTGTGTGTGCGTGTGTGTGTGCCGGAGGTTGGTGATGGTGCGGGGCGCAAGCAGGCTGATTTCAAAGTTTTTTGAGGAACCGGCATTTCATCCAAACCGGTGCTCCTTCTGATGTTGGGCTTCAAACGGTTCATTTTTCCCCCTGTCATTTCATCTGTTTCTTCCTTCTCCCGCCAAAATGCCGCATCTCCCCCACCCAAAACCCCTCAAATAAAAAAAACCCTATTGTCATCTGAGCCTAGATTCATTTTAGATTAACGTTCACGTTTCTTTCTTTCTTGCATTACCTTCAAAGGACCTCCATTATGTTGCCAGTGATAAGGGCGAGCTGGTGCTAGCAGATGTGGCCAAGAGGAAAGCTAATGAAATCGAGGCCCGGACCAATGCAGGCAACGGTAAGAAAAGTAATCATCATGTCTAACCAAAAGACACTAAATGTGACTCGTTATTTCTCCTCACATCTGAAATGGGAGGTGGATACCTGATAACCTCGGTAACTCACCCACTGTGACACACTTTTCTCACATCTGAGAGCAGATTTTTTCTCGGGCTCTAGCCTTCCTTTAACAGCACAGAGGAGAATCATGCTTGCCAGAGTAATAGCTGTGTCAAAACTCTGAAAACATGTGCTTATTTGGTATATAAGAATGAGCAAAAGTGAGATTCTGCAGGAAATATTTGTCACAAATGATATAAAGTGATGACTACACAGTGGACAATTAGAATTTAGCCCCACACCATCGATATTTCAAGATTACGTTTTATACATTTAAGACAAAGTCTTTAATGTCAGGCTAATGAAATGTAGTCTGACGCCAGCAAGAGGAGGAAAGACCCAGCTTTTCTGTCAGTTTTCAGCCTCTGCTGCTGCCCTTTGACAAACACTCCCGAAAGCACATACCAGAGGGGATCAAGCTACGTTCCTGATTACACACACACACTCAAAAACACACCACACACACACAACTCCTCACAGAAGCTTTGAGGGCCAACGGGTGAGCAGACTACATTCAAATTTGTGAGGGAACTAGATGAACATGTCGGAAGAGTCCTTCATTGGTGCTTAAAACACACTGGAAGGCTGTGCGTGCGTGTGTATGTGTACTCAGACATCCAAATGAAGCAAGAGAGGTATTTAACTCGACTGTATAAGGTCAAACCCCTACGGCTGAGTGTCTGTGTGTTTGTCTGTGAATGAAAATGAGCGCTTGTCTAACTGTGAGGCCTGTTTGCATGCAGGTTTTTTTTTTTTTTTTTTATATTTCAAATGTGATGCATAAAACGCACACTCCTCCTCGTAAGCCTCTTAATTATGTCCTCGATGATTTGCCTCCATCACCTGCAGCGTGTCCTATCCTTGGACAACAGCACTTTAGAGCAAGAGGGACAGAAGGGAGAAAGAAAAAGGAGGCATGACAGCGGGAATAAGAAGGAGGGTGAAAAGGGAAAATAAATAACAAGTGAGGAACGAAGAAAGTGTAGATAAAGTGTAAATAAAGAAGAGGGAAAACATCAAATATTAACTTGCCAAAGTAAAGAAAACAAAGAAATTAATGAATATTAAACACAACGTTGGTTTGTATGGCCTGCCTATATTTTTCTTTCTGGGTCCTGATCAGTCCTCACAACTTCACTGAATAAAATGATAATATTTAGTGCAAACTTATCTACTTGATTCAAAGCTTATCCTGTGTTGCTGCATAGCAGTAGATGTTTCTACAGCATTGAAGCTTCATTATGTGTCACTAGATTTTACTTTACTTGCAGTTTCGTAAGACATAGTCGGTAAAAAGAAAGTACATCGCAAGTCTTTACATAAAAGGGGATAATACAAATTGCAATACAAATTGCAGCTACCTGTGGAAAAACCCGAAAACTGGTGGTTGTCAACACCCATCTTTATTGATGTAAAGTGAGGTGCAATCACAGGGTATAGAGGAAAATAGTTAAAGTCCCGTCACAGTATTTATCAGGTTGAGGTCTGGAGTGGGCCATCACAACGCAGATTCTTTTCTTTTTCCAGCCATTCTGTTGTAGATGACCCAAATTCGGCCAAGCTTTATCTATCACACAGATGGCCTCATATGGTCGATTCAGTGATTGGAAGATGCCCAGGTCCTGTGGTTTCAAAACAAGCTCTAATCATCACCCCTTCACAGCCATTCTGACAGTTCGTATGAGGTATTTTTGCTGATATGCAGTGTTTGGTTTTCATCAAATGTGACACCAAACATCTCCACTTCTGTATCATCAAGTAGTCCATACTTGTTCAGTCTTTTTCTGTTTTTACTGTCATGATTTTTACAATTTAGCATGATAACTGAGGCTGTAGAGAAATGTACCTCTTGGTTTTTTGCAGGTTCTCTGAGCATTGCATGGTCTGACCTTGGTAACATTAAGAGTTAACTTGCATGCACAGTCCTGTGAAAACTCGTTTTCATGTGATTATACCGTAAATTAAATAAAAAATGTTTTCTTATTAAAGTTTATTTGATTAATAGATTTTTTAAAAAAATGACACAGTCAGCCATCAGAAGGTCTGAATTCATTTAGAAATCACACACACTCATGACAGTGACACTTAGTGTTGTCACAGCCCTTGATGAGGACGGTTAAACTGATCCCATTTTATAAGAGTGTGTGTCCCCTTGTATGTTAGACAGACAAGCAGACAGCATATTAACAGAGCAGAAAAGCCAGGTCATAAATAATGAGTGGCTTGCTTCAAGCAGAGGGCTCCAGTGAACAAGTCTCGCTTTACAGACACACATGCATGCATGCGTGCACGCACACAAACACAGCCTCTGGCGTGTTTGTGACACACTCACACATTTATCATTGGGCATGTGCAAGCCCCTAAAACAGAAGCAGTAAACGGACTGATTGTTAAGGAAACCACTTTAACTTTTAAGGTGGCTGTAGCTCAGGCGGTAGAGCAGGTCATCTACTGATCGTTCCTGGCTTCCCCCTAGTCTGAATGCCAAATATCCTTGAGCAAAATACTCACCCCAAGTTGCTCTTCGATGCATCCATCGGAATATGAATGTGTGTGAATGTTAGTTAGGAAGCACTTGGTAACAGCTTAGGAAAAAGTGCTTGTGCGAATGGGTGTCATTGGGTGATTGCACAAGTTGTGTAAAGCGCTTTGAGTGTTCAAGATAGAGTAGAAAAGTGCTCACTAAGAACCAGTCCAAGGTAACGACAAGAAGTCAACTTTCGAGTTTCGGTGCCTTTCAGGGTTTTCAGTTAAATTCAGTCCGTACCTGCATGTACTAATATGTGCTTTGCAAATTAATCAGAGTGTTGTTTGCTGTTAAAATATAAATAACATCTGCAGGTATGTCTGGTTGTTCTCATCACATGGTCTCCTCCTGATTCCTTCCTCACTGACTAAACACAGACTGTGTCATCAGTCACATGTTCTCTGTGCACAAAGTTCCCACAGTGCAGCTTCAGTCACCTTTGCCCCACATTGTCAAAAAATTCAGTTCAAACACACTCAAGAAAGTTGTTTGTTCTCAATAGAAATCAAGCAGACACACGTGTTTGAGTAAACGTGTTCTGGTGGTCGTTTGAAAGCAGATCAATTCTAGTTTCTTGCTGCTCAAGAGAAACTTAAAAACAGCTCGTTTTGTTTGTGAAATCTGAAATGACCTCTATTAGGTCAACCTGTTGTTATGACAAAAGCATAAGCATGACCTAACCCCAGCTTTGTTCTGAGCTTTGAAAGAGTTTTTCCTCCCTCTGTATGGATTTCGGTCATGAGTGGCCAGCAGTAACTTTCACTGGAGTACCTGTTACACATTTAATTTATTTAGTTAGTTTTGTTTCGTTTTTTAGGACAGACGGTGGGGGATCTGTTCTAAGGCAACAGTGTAAGACACTATTTAACTGAACAGCATGTGTAGTTTGTTCACATCTGTTTTCTTGCTTTAAAATGATAATTTATTCCATGCATCCTTCAGTTTTCTTAACTGCTGATCCAATGCAAGGTTATGAAGAAAGATGCAGCCTATCCAGGGTGTCACGGGGTGAGAGGGACAGGTTACCAGTCTATCACCAAACTAACTTCACCCACTTGAAAAAAAAAACAGAAAAACAAGAACCAAATGATTGGTTATTTCCTTTATATTACTTACACCGGGCCTTTAGATTGATTCATCATCACTGATGATGATAGATTGGTTCTGTGGAATCGTTTGGGGAACCAAACTGTAGTTTTCAGTCAAAGTTTGCTGCATCCAAGCTTAAAGATGTTGCATCAGATCAGAAGTATTCTTGTTGAGGTTTTTTTTAGTTGTGAACCATAAATTTCTTTACCAGTCAGACTGTCATTGCTGTGTTCTAGTGTAACATGCTGAGCCGTCTTAGGGAGAACACGGAGCACAAACAACCTACGGCCATATTTGGCTCATCCTCTTCCCCACAAAGAAATACAAATTGCAGGTTGTGCCTTTGACAGTGTGCAGGTGGTGAGAACAGGACTTCCATAAAGCAAGTCCAGAGGTGCACAAGGAGAAAACATTGAAGGAGAAACCAACATTTAGCTAGACAGTATATTGAACTTTTCCTTCAACTGTGTGTGAGTGGGGGTTTTTTTGCTGTTCTCCACCCTGCAATTTTATTTATTTGATGCTATGTTTTTTTGTTTGTTTAAATGAATGTATTAGCTTAAAGCCTAATTCTGCTAAAACCTAAAACTGCTGTCCTTTAGCCAGACGTCAGAATAGCCGTTAAGTCATTCAAGTTGCTTTTGAGGTTATATCCTGAGGCAGTTTTACACCTGAAATTACCTGCAAGTACTAAAAGGCATTTCCAAAAGCGAAGCATGTGGTGACACAGACCACCCTGAAATATGATGCCCCCGTCACCAGCACCACCCACTAAGTCATTAGTGTACTGTTGATCTTACAGTGCCTAAAGCTGTTGCATGAGAGCGTAATTAAATGGGAACAGATGAAATGGAACTTGCTACATTTACTCAAGTACTTCACTATATTACAGTTGCTGCTTTCTACTTCCGCTTCACTATATTTTGAACTTTTATTGTACTACATAAATTGAAAATATTTTGAAATATAAAACTATTAGTACAGATGAAGCTAAACAGCATCTTGAGCTGCAAAATTAAAGTGATATATACATTAATTAATCACTCTTTATGATCCAGTAATGTTGTGCATATGAGTCTATGTGGTCGATACTTCTTCTTTATGTACTTTTAGTATATTTTGATGCTAAAACTTTGGTCTTGTTATTGAAGTAGGATTATGACTTCCAGAATCACCTTTTTTAGGATACAGGAAAACACATGAGCCCAGATGTCTCCGCCTCCTTTGAAACCCATCTGCAGCTACCTGAGTTATAGGACAGAAAAACTACTTGCTGCGGTTTCCCTGAGTAGCAACTGGGGAAAAAACCTCATCTAGGTCATCTCCACCATGTGCTATTTTACACAATGCAGAACTGGAAAAAAAATAACACTGGAAAGATGAATACATCTCCTCATATTGTTTGACTCATTTTTGTATTTGTTTTCTTAAAAAAAAAAAAGAAAAATAAAATGACTCATTTCCAAATCGAGCGGTTGTTTAAGGTGGATGTCAGTCTAAGACTTGGAAACGGCCCATATGTGCATCCATTGTAAGTCCCGATGAACAGAGATTCTGCTGTCGCTTGTAGACAAACATAAACGCACAATAGAGAACACACATTTCAGCTTAGAAATGGTCCCTTTTTATAACAGCATTGGAAATCGCTTATAGCTGTCTGGCTGACAAGTGTGCTGATTTGGATAGATACAGCATTGTGAGAGGCAGAGTAGCGAACAAGTGCGAGGGAAGGCCCCTTTCTTTTCCCCTCTATCTCTTTTTCCTTTGAGTAGCGTTTTGCCAAGAGGAGAAGCCAAGTTGGTTTCCCGATCGTTCTGTCTCCCCCTCACAAAGGCTGACATGACTGCAGGGCTTTTCAACGGGCAAAGAGATGAGAGCTTTATCTGAAGATCCACTTCTCCTCCTCCTCCCTCCCGCTCCCTCTCTTTCCCTCTCTTCTTGGTTGTTGCGGTAAAAGCCTGTTAGCTGCGGTGTGTGTTGAGGGAAAGCAGCGTTTGTTTCTTGATTCCTTCTCAGCTCTGTCGGCTGCTTTGTTCGCACATCCGCCGTTTACTGTTTGACATCTTGTCTCAATTCAGAAACTCGAATCGAGTGTTTATCAATAACAAGATGATCAAGGTTTGATGTCCAAATTAGCAGAAACAGACGCTCAGGCACTGTTCGCCTTATACAAACCATATTTAGAGGAGAAATTGTAAGGCTTAGAAACATGCTATAGACCGAAATATCAGCACCAGCAGCTGCCAATAAACAGAGCAACATCTTGACGCCAGAGAAGCACACACAGTTTATTAGTATATGTGTACTATAATGAAAGCAGTGACACAATCTGGGTGACTTTATTAATGTTTTGTCTTTTTTGTTAAAGAAGATCTTCAGAGAGGCAGAAGTGATGCCTGTGGTTCCAGCTTCAGTGACCTTCAGGTAGCGAGGACGCAAAGTGTAGCGGACCCTCCACGCTCCCCATCAACACAGTGAGTCACATGTACCATGTGCAGTTCCACATTTGTCAAGTGTTATCTGTTTAAACTGGTTTTCAAACAGGGTGTGACATCCTTAGATCTAGAACCATATTTGTATATTCATATCAAAGCAAATTTTCCAGATTCTCCTCCCTTATTGAGGAAGAAAACAACATGTTAATGCTGAAGCTTCAGTATGGAGAGTCCAGAAATGAGTCCGAGACGGTACGGTGGTTGTGTCTAACTTTTATGTGGTCTATGATCAGATTAAAGTTACAAAATCTTGCCTTTTTATGACTGAGAGACATTACAGCTTTTACACTGATACCCGATCAGTCATGGATGCTCTTTTTCAGGACATGCATGATGGCATCAGAGAAGAGGCACTAGAAAAAGACTGTAAAGTTATCAAAGTGGTGCATATGACACTGTAAAGGCTGTAAGCTTTGGACTGAGGTCCTTTAATGTTAGTACATACGCTCACCAGCCAATCATTAGATACTCCTTCCTAGTACTGAGTTGGATCCCCTTTTTGCCTTCAGAACTGCCTTAATTCCTCAAGGCGTAGATTCAGCAAGGTGCTGGAAACACTCCTCAAAGATAAGATGACATCACACAGTTGCTGCAGATTTGTCCACCGCACATCCATGACGTGAATCTCCTGTACCGCCAATTAATGAGCAGTTATTTGAGTATTATGCATTTAATTATGAGTGATGATTCATCTCTGGCTCTCTTCCACTGCATGCCTTTTGTCTTGTGTCTCTCCTCTCACCCCTAACTGGTTGCTGCACATGGCTGCCCCTCTGTCAGCCTGGTTCTGCCAGAGGTTTCTTCTTGTTAAAGATGGAGTTTTTCCTTCCCACTGTCGCCAAAGTGCTTGCTCATAAGGGGTCGTCTGATTGTTTGGGGTTTCTCTGTGTTATTGTGGGGTCTTTACCTTACAATATTAAGTCACTGGGTATTTTCTGTTTTTAAGACCATTCTCTGTAAACCGTAGGCATGGCTGTGAGGGGAAAATCCCAGCAGATCAGCAGTTTCTAAAATACTCTGAACATGGTGTGGTTATTGGTGCGAAACAGGCTGCTGAAGTTGCCTTTCCTCCTCATTCTGATGCTCACAACTTCAGTAGCTCGCTTTGATCATGTCTGCATGCTTAAATGCACTGAGTGATCGACTGACTAGATATTCGCATTAATGTAGTAGCTGGTGAGTGTATTTTATGTCCTTCTGGATAAAAACAAGAAGCAACAGGTTTTGGTGAAGCGTGATTTGCTGATCACTTTAACCTCTTTCCAAACACACACAGTATAACACTGTTCCTTTACCCTTTGTGCATATAGTGCGAGAGAATTAACCACAATACATTTGTGGATCAGGCAGATAAACAAACATAAACTTTCTATAGTGTTAAGAGGTTACAGATGCAGGCGATACTATACTGTCTCAATCATTTGACACTTTGTTTTTGCAAAAATGTTGACTTGAGCTGCCATTTATATATATAAAAAAAAATAATTTAGTTCAGCTCACTACAAATAAGGCATCCAGACACTGCTACGTTCCCGCAGAGGTTCTGCATTGTCTGCTCATGAATCGTATGAGAGCGTCTGTGGCCAAATGACCCAGCTGCAGCCTAAGAGCCTTCACTCCCAGCAACATTTCAAATGTCAAAACCACATCAGTTCCGGGTCTTACGCTTCCAGCGATCCCAGAGTTGAACCGGGAGCCACATTTTTAAAACGCCACCAGAGTCCATTTTCACTACGGCTCAGTCTCCAGAGTGCAGACCAAACTCAGTGTTTCAGAGTGATTGTTTAATACAATCGTCCACATGAATGACATGTTGAAACAGTGTGACTAAAGACGCGCTGAAAGCATCCCTCTCCGTCTCTCACACACAAACATACACACAAACACAGCCACATCCACGGCTCTATTATTGTGGGATGGTGGTGGGGTGGGGAAGTGATGGAGGGGCCTTCCTTGTCATACCCCAACTAACATATTGGAGTATTTATATGGGATTTGTGTGCATTAGATAAAAAGGCACTCTTGTTCTTTTCATCCTCATAGGCTTTTCATGGCTGTTTGACTGTAACACTGATGACTCTCTGCTGCACCCCCTCCACCCTCAAACCCCTCCACTCTGCGTTTCTCTAAGCCCCTTCCATCCACCCCAAATCCTTTCCTATCGGCCAATTTAAACAAGCTGGGTCCAGAGAGAGAGAGAGAGAGAGGGGAAGAGACAGAGATGCTGTGTCCTAAGCTCTTTTTAAAAACAGTAAAAGGAACGAGACGAGGGAAAAAAGAGGGTTAGGGCGATTTGGCAGCCAAAAGCCCAGTCGTACTACCCCAGGTCTTCCCCTGCACCGCTGACAGAGGCTAAGAAAGCAGATCCCCAAACCTCCCCAAAGATAATGGCCACAGAGAGGAAGAGACAAAGCTTCTGCTTTTTATTGCACCCCCCCCCCCCCTCCTCCTCCTTTAGAACAATTTTTATATTGAAACACCCCCCACCCCCCCTCCTCTTTTGTAATCTGGTCTCCGATGAAGTTTCATTGTTTCTCATGTGAAGCCAGTGACAGCTTAGCTGAGATGGAGTAGGGCAGGAATTATAGCGCAGGCGTTTTCCCGTTTGGCTCGCTGAGAAAAGAGCGGAGAAAGAGAGGAAGGCGAGCACAATGGCAGTTTGGGGGCTCCTCGCCGATTCCCGCCGCATTCCCCAAATCCGACTCGAAGTGAGAGAGAACAAGACGGAAATCTGGGAAGCGTCCCAACGTTCCTTTGATGGCTGCTGGCCTCTCTCGCTCATCACACAGTCTTCTGTCAGTGGAGGAAGGAGGATGCAAGATTTCATTTTTTTTTATTTTTGCTTACTGGAGGCCAAAGTTACTGTGAGCATTCAGAGCGACAGAGAGCTGAGAATTTCTGTTAACAGTTTATTTTATGATGATAAATGATAACGATAAATGCGCTGACTGACTTCTTGGTGTGACCTAATCTAAAGTTGTAAAGGAAAAACTAAAAATGTTCATGTTTGAACATTTGAAAGGTTGAGAGAAGTATCTGCTTGCAGTTCAATTCTGTCTTACCGACCATTTATATTTATATTTATATTTCTGGTAATGCTATAGAGAAAAAACACCTTAGTTTTAGCAGTTTCAGCAGTAACAGTGGTGTGTATCTAAATCTGTGATGGAAACGGACAAACCAAACACTGAAAAAATAAAGTTTCAGATTCATTGAATTCATTAAATCTCTATCTGAAATATAAACTAGAAGCAGACTTAAAACCTTAGTGGACAAAGCAAACCCAAGATGAATAAATACAAAAACTTTTTTTGAAATAAGACAGCTTTAGTAGTTGAAAAATTGGACAAGGGGAAATAGTCAGGTGTAAAAACCTGCGCTGCTTTCACAAGGCCGAATCATCATAGCCAGATAATTGGATGGGAGCTCTCTGAGGTGGCAAAGCTCATAAGGTGCTTTGAGTAACCAGTGGTGACCAGAGAGGTTCAAAGGGGGGAATGAAACATGAACCAGCGACAGGATCCTGGAAAAAGTAGTGGTTTGGGGACGCCCAAAAAATTCCAAACCACAGCCAAATGGTCAATAAAATTATTTTCTATAAATCAATGTATTGCTTAAAAGCATGGAGTAATACAGGCTTAATGTCTGCATTGCTTCCTTCCTCTTTTGGGCCAGTAGAAAATCTCATGATTTCACACTTCATGTCAATCTGTCGTTAAATTTCTCTTTTATCAGTTGCAGTGAGCTTTTCCTGAAACTGCATAGCTTAGCCTGTTAGCCAGCTGGAGAAGCTCGTGAGTGAGTCCAGACCTGCTAAATCAGTGCTGGGTTTATAAGAGGGTTCATGGATGATTTCTGCTTGTCTAAAGATCTCTGCCTTTCAGGATTTGCCGCTAATGGTTTTGTGCCAGATATAGAACCTTAGAGGCTAACAGCATATTTACTTTATCATAATGTTTCTGGTCTTATCTATTCTGTGCTTTGTTTTACGAACGTACTCATTCGTTCAGTTTTAAACAACATGAAACATGTGTCACCAGCTCTATTTTCTTTCGTCAGTGCTGATGGAGCAGCCAGTCGGAGGAGACAACAACCAGAGACCTTACATTTGACCGTCAACCCAGACGTGCTCAGGATGCTGAAACAAACAGGTAAGTGTGCAGGTATAAATGAACAGTGCAAACCCAGCAAAACTCTCTCGGAGGATGACATTGCTAGTCAGCTTTGGTAAAAAAGTGAAACCTGTCTTATTGTAAAGAAACCATAGCTAGGTTTGATATCAATGTCTACTAAACTTTTTACTTTTGAATCAGTTTAGCTTTTTTTAGATGTCTTTCCAACATCTTGGTTAGTGTGGCCAAGGAGAGGAGAAGTCAGGGCATCTCTACTTAGACTGCAGCATCCTTTGACCTGATTGCAGAAGAGGCAGAAAATTGATAGATGGATAGACTGATGGATCATTTTTCACCTGGTTTACATCTAGACTGAGTTTAGATGCAAACCTAGCAGACTTTATTAAATGCTTAAAAAATGAAAACAAGAAAATGATTAACCTGAAGATGATGACCAGAGAAATGCAGAGTTTTGTGTATGATTGAAGACCATTCATGCATGTTAGATCTCATCCGTGTCCTGTTATTGTGACTCTTTCTTATTTAAAGAAGTCACGCCAACATAATTTTTCTCATTTGTACAGGTACTTATACCTGTACAAAGCATCTGATTTCTTTCTGGCTCAAGTTACCTTCCCTTCCCAAATCTAGAATTTAAGCCAAAACTGCAGATCTAATAATCGAATCCACTATGTTTACGTTCCTTTGACTTTAGATTAATCCACCCACCATTTTGCTGTTAATCATCCCAAACTGCCTACAGGACAACAAGTGCTTTCACCAGTAACAGCTGATGGAGAGAGCGTGCCCATTATTTTAAAGAGCAGCTAATAATGTTCAGCATTTCAGTGTCAGGGCCACGTTTTAAGCCCCGCAGCAATTCTCCGGCGACATTCAGCCTGCTTTTTATTCTCTAAACGTCGCCTGAGTGCTCTGCTCTCCCCATCTCAGATGTCTGAGATGACTAACTGGTCATTTAGGAAAAATACCCATTAAGAAAACATCACTTCTTCTTCTTCTTCTTGTAGCTGCGCTGCCTCCTCCCTCCACCCTGCTCTCTCCATTTTAATAATTCCATTTTTTCCTTCTTTTTTTTTTTAGGTGATTAGCAATTGTCTCTGCATCAAATCGCTCTGTCATTCCATAATCCGGACTGTAGGCTATTGAGGGGAATTTGCATCACCGTTTTAAATATCTGTATATGCACGTCAGGGTTTTAATGTCAATCATAACCTTATTAACGCAGCGCTCAGAGCGAGAGAGATCGCCATGAGTGACAACGGTTTACGTTCGTTAAAACCCAGAAAAGGCGACGTGTCCGACCTGCTGAGCGAGCATGTAACCTGTTCAGGCGTTCAGCTGCGTGTGTTTACGCGCCGTGGGGCTGTCGTGTGTGATTATGCATGTCTAATGTTTGGTTGTTGTACTTGTTTCAAGTGTCATGGCTGGTTTACGGCAGCATCGAACATCATTCTCAGATGCCTTCTGTCGTTTTGTTCTGCAGGAAGCAGCAGAGCTGACGGAGACGGAGTGAATGTAAGTTCACTGATAGTTAAGTAACGCGGTTGCAGAAGCTGCAGTTTAGTTCAGAAAAACATGTAAAGTTTTGCATTTATGATCAGTGTATAAACACGTATTAATGCTAATAATGCTCTGCATTTACAAGCAGTTATGGGGACATTTAGGAGTTTGTTAATGTACAGTTTTTATAAGCAATCACAGCTTCTCATATTAAGACACATTAACTCAGAGCTCGCTGTGATTTAGTGCTGTCGTGATGGCAGAGTTTCATGATTACTGCGCTAAAAAAGTCTCACTACGGGAGTTATTGTGACACCTGTAGAAAAATAACTAATACAACCATCCTGTCAGTGAGTTACACATAACTTTATTTATTGTCATTTATATAAACTTTATATAAAAATCCATGGACAGTCTATAACCATAACAGTGTAATCGCTCATTTCTGATGTTCTTAAATGTGCACTACTGGTCTCGCTCTGTTTGGCACGCCGTGATAGTTATATGGAGTCCCACATCAACAGTTCAGCTGACTGTAATTCATGAAGGTGAACAACTAGAAAAGTGTGGCTGTGTGGATTTATCCTCAGTGAAACCCCAAGATCACAAGCAGTGAGACCAGCGGCTGAAAGACTGTTGCATAAGATCGCAAAAACAATCCTTAGCTTCCGTTCATGGTTCGAAAAAATTGGGGCATCAGTAAATCCATGCTTCACGTGAGCGATGCAAACCAGAGCAGTCGCTGTTTAGCATCAGTGACATTTCCCACATTGTCCTAGATAAACGCATAAACTTTGCCCCACATTTGGTTGGTTGGAAGCTGCTAACCGTAAATGCAATCATTATCTAACAGTGCGGTGAAAGGACACCTTTGCAACAGCGTCATAAATGTGACTAAAAGTAAACAAAGAGAAGTTATTCCATTAGAGTTGAACAATACCTGGAGGATGTCTTATTGGACTGCTGTTTACAGTGATTAGCCAATTAGATATTAAAAAATTAAAAATTTATATATGCTGTTATTTTTATTACATTTGATAACATTTATATTACATTGGTCACTTAGTTCTTTTTATTGTTTTTACAGGATTAATTGTTCAACAGACTGTTGGATGATGAATATAATAAATGCAGAAATGACTGCAGCGCCATATGTTTATACTTATATAATATTCATTATTCATGTTTATTAAGGGGGATGTTTCTGTTTCTTCCTCAGGATGATGACGACGACCCCGGGATGCTTCATGTGGTTCATTTAGGGATGGTTTGAAAAGACTAACGAACAACAGATAAGACTTTATTAATCCCAGAGGGACACAACATCTCACCAATAACAAGCACAGTAGTTACTTTGCTTGAAGCTTAATCTATAAAGGGTTTAAAAGTCCCCTCATTCACAGCCACACATGGAAAACAGTTTATTTTTTTATACCTGTCATAGAACGTTTGTGAATTTCAGCCAAATCATAAACATGAAATTCACTGAATTCAGCTTATTTCGTGTCTTTGTGAAGTCTAAACCAAATGAACCCTTGAAGGAAACACTTACCTGCTTCTTCTTTTAAAAACACGGCAGAAAATGTTTAAAACCTTTACATTAATCAGCCTGAAAAAATAAAGACTCCCATTTTACACTCATCTCACTGATATTGGATGTTCCAGGCTTCCTCTGCACGCGCATGTGTGCGTGTGCGCCGAGTAGATGTGTGTGTTTGCGTGTTGGCCGAGATTACAGGCCGCAGTTTTATTCATGAACGGGAGCCAACCAGCGACTTTAAAGCATCGCGCGGAGCCCCTTTCCTGAACAGCAGCCATAGCCGTGTCAGAGCTGTCGACGCGCTGCGCTCACCGACTAATCTGACAGCGCCGCGCGAGCCCTAATCCCTCACTGTATCGTAATCTATTTACTTTGCATTCTAAGAGGATTTCCACCAAAAAATATACAAGAAGCGATGTTGGAAATGGACAGAAGATCAGCGAGGATGCTTTTCTGCTGGGTTTTTTTTTTTTTTGTTTGTTTGTTTTGTTAGCTTTAAAAAAATCATTGTATGTTTTTCGGGGAGTCAATCCTCTACGAAAGGGATGGGTGAAAGGAATTACATTTCTGACTGATACTAATACTTCTCTTATGTAAACATCAAAATGTTATATTTCCCTTCTGATGATACAGTCACACTGCAGAGGCAGCTGGAGATAAGTGGCATCTGTCGCCGCCTTTAGTGCATCTCTTGACACGTTTATAATTTACAAACCAAGGCTGCATTATCTCCTGATTGTTTGACTTGACAGCTTGAATAAAAACTGCAAAATTGCTTAACAGGCAAACACGGGTCCCTCCCATCCCTCCGATGGCCTACACAGTCACCTTTTTGACATGCAAACAGTGAAAGCTCATAATACAAATGAAATTTCATAATACAGAAAACAAAGTGGGAGACCAAATGCTCTCCTCGGTTACCCTTTAAGCAATTATGTCAGCTTTGTGAAATCCTAAATAGTTATGCTTCATTTAAAATGTGGCCAGCAGCTTTTATTTATGAAACACCGCCTCACGCTCCAATCTTTGCCATCCGAGATGACTTGCAGAGATAGGCTTATTAGTGGTATTAACATACTGCGCGGCGTGCTGGAGCTGTGAAACGGCCTTGTTAACATTTGGAAATGAATCAAGCCTCCAGCATTTGCTATTATCCAGGTTATCTGCCTATCCCCCCCCCCCCCCTTCTCTGTGCAACAGCTGTGCTGTTTCTCTGCACTGCGTCTAATGATGGCCCTGATTGGACTGATACGGTTCCCCCCTCAGGGGGACGTTTGTATGATTTATAGGTTTGTTTCTGATCTCTGCGAGAGAAATCCCTAAAATATTATAGACAAATATGTCAAGACCATTAAAGACATCAAAGAGACAAGTTTACTTACAACGGAGAGTTTTTAGAAGGAAGAGATTCCCTGAAAAACGAAGAAATATACTGACTAGTGTTACGGTTTCTCTTTGTTGTTGGTTCTCAGGTGATTGAGATGCACTTTGCTTAAGGATCACACTGCGATCGCTTCATCGAGAAAAGTGCTCGGTTATAGTTTAGCATATCTAGTTTTAATATCTGTTCCTGAAAAAGCCTCACAGACAAAAGCGTTATATCTTGGTTCTCTGATTCGAACAGTTTGTTTTTCCTTTCTTTTCTTTTTTGTTAGACTAAACAAAAAATAAAGCACGGGTAAATAAAATATATATGATCTGATGGGTCCTGTTATAGATTCTGGAGACTTCTTATGACAGCAAATTATACACACGTTATAGTTTTATCAGGCTGATACTTCATGAATGTGGCTGATTTTGTCAGATTTTCTTACAAAGTTTTCTTTTGATGTACACATGAGCTGCAAAACACTGTTAGTTATTTTCTTTAAAGAAAATTGAATTCTGAAATCCCCAAAAGACGCATTAGGATTTGTCTTCTTTTGATTTTATGAGCTGAACTAACTCTCAGACTGAAATAAATGTGCATGCAAATAATGTAAACACGTATAGAAATCTATATTTCCTCATGCGTGGTCCAAGTAACTTTATTTCTTTGCTGTGAGATTTTAATTTTGAAGGTTTACGGTCATAGTACTGCATCATTTTTATGCATTTCTGCCCCTGGCATCTGTTTGTGAAGAGAATCTTGTCTCTGAATGAAAAAGAAAATGTGGCCAACACGTCAGACAGCGATGCGTTGACACACAGAGACGACGTCCGCTGCGGGGAAGCGCTAAAGCCTGCAGGCCAACCAGCCCTCCATTAAGCCCTCCCAAGTCTGGTGGGCTGCAAGGAGAAGACAAGTTGTAACTTGGGATGATGAGTCTGCTGCATCCTTTGCAGATGAGATAATGTAAGCACTCTTCAGATACCTCTCTAATCCATCCCCTCCTCGTTGTGACGCAACTGATGCATGAGGAAAGAGGACAGGAAGTGGGGCTGTCATCAGAAAAACAAAAGTCAGATATGAGGGGTGTCGTCCTTTGCAGAAATCAGCGAGAGCTGCTTTCGCCGGTCCAATCTTGTCTGATTTCCCTCCATCAGCCACTTCAAGGGAGGAAAAGGAGGAGGAAGGAAGTGCGTGACTGCTCAGCTGATCTCAGAGCAGCACAAAAGCCTCCAATCATTTAATTTAATGGTCTACAGTAACAGGACTTCAGTGGAGACTGTGTTGGTGATTAGCAAAACCCAAGTAAGATAATGGCAGCAGTGGTGTAGGAGGGCAGTATCAGTGTAAACAAACATCTAGTCAAATACATCTGATTCTGCCCTGCAGTTTGGACTTCCTTTGCATGTTGGCAAAAAAAAAAAAAGTTAAATCTCAATGTCACCATTTTATTCTACCCATGTCAATAAAAATGCCAACTTTTCAGCCTTGTTGCCCCCATCAGACCTCTTTTCCTTTGGCTAATTCAGCACCACATGCCCATGGTTCAGACGGTGCAAGTTCATTTGGTGTTTTGTGAAACTAAACTGATGTGTGGCTGCTGGTTCTTGTCCCTGTGCATGAGTTAACAGCAGTATTTTAAAGAGCAGAATTAGACTTCACAGCAAACGAAGTGCACGCAAGGTCCCAGGAGGTCAGGAGGCCACAGTTCTTGTCTCCTTTGTGAGCTTTTTGTGTTTTGCACTTCTTTGTTTTCACTCACTCATTTGTTTAATTTTCACTCGCTGGATAGGTTTAAGAAAATATTGCGTTTAAATATGCTCCATTACATTATAAACCCGCAGGCTCATAGTGATGCTTAAGAGTACTCAGCGCATTTAAATGGGACATGGTTCCCACTTTTGCTGGTAAAGCTGCTGCTAATTTCCTGTAACTTGCCGATAAGTTCTGTGGTTTCACCCACCGTTCTGTCTCCATATACAAGTAGTGTTGAACCACAGAGCTCCAGCTGCCCTCAAATACCGACTAGAAGCCTGTCCTCCATTCCTGATGTGATGGTGTCAGGAGGATCCACTGACTTATTTTCTCCCAAAATTGAAATATTTCCACATCTTTTTTTAAACTTTGTCGATTTCCATCGCTAACATAAAAAAGGGAGGATTGTTAGATGCAATGCGAGTGAATGAAAGTGGGTCCTTTTAGTTATTATTTATGGGTGTAAATTTGAAATTAAGTCATTAATATCAAACTTTTATATAGAAAAAGATCAGAAGCATGCTAGCTACTAAATTTACCAAATCATCACGTGCATAAGTGCAGCTTCACGTGGCTCCTATTGTGGTTGTAAATTTGTTTACCGGCCTTCATCCTTCATTATAATGAGGATTCTTTGCAAATTAGTACAATAAGCCACCTGGGCCTACAGTGTTTCTGTGTAAATGCACAATTTTCTGCCACAAAAAGCATTTTGTTTTTAAATTATGCCTTTTCATGCTTGTTGTAAGAAAAGCTCTCACAAGTGTTGGATGTCTCACTAGCTGGAAACTGAGAATCACCAACAAAGTGACCAGAGCTGTCTACCTGACGTAAAGAGAGGTGACCAAATTTCTCAGCACGCTTCAGGATCAGGTAACCCGTGTACTCCTTTAATTCCACAGAAATGGGACGGCTAAGACTCGATGTACAAATTGTCCCTAGTCTGTCCTCTGCTGAACTAAACCTACAGCTCCCAAACCCAAGAGGAATTTCATGAATGCTCTCAGTGCCTGGTGCCACAGGGGTGACTAAGCTGCTTTCACTCCACCAGCTCGGCTGCGCCGGCCGCCTGGACTCAGCTGTGAAATCCTCGGTGGTACTCTCGGCTTCTTTGAGTCTCAATGACGAACTCAAGGGGTTGAAGGGTTTTTAGGCCAGAAAACATTTCAAAATTACTAAATAAACCAAAACAAATCAACCAAGCTACCCTTTTTTAAAATTCCCACACCTGATGTTCAACTAAAGAATTTAAAAGCAGGAAACTGAGGCCTTGCCTGACAAAGCACAGAAACCTGAGACGGTGGCCCGGACTACTCCCATGTTGGTGTACAGTTGACCCCAGATCAACCTCTCAGGTAAATTTAATCCTCCTCTGTATCACCCTTCACTCTTCATACCGGCCTATGAACACAACAGGATGCCAAGATCTGGCGACAGTCGGCAGCCAATGAAAGACAAGCGTGAGTGCTGTTTTTTTCCTGTCCTGCATGGAAATGGAAGACAAGAAAACAGTCCCAGCATGCAGGCTGCTATCGGTGCATCTGCCGGGCCTTTCGGATCTTTGTCTTGCGCACACATACACACTGACTTATCTAAGACCAGGAGTGTTCGCAAACCAAATACTGGAGGATCAGTCCGGTTTCTGTCTTTATCTTTTCTGTCTGTCTCTTTTTTACTTTCCTAGATACAAATCTCAAACCACTCATGCGAGGACCGTCCGGCATGGTTCCAGTTCATTTCCTGGACAAAGTGTGAACAAAGTGTCAACAGTTTCCAGTCCACCCACATTCACACACCTTAACCGCAAAAGATGAGAGGCCAAAAGGTCAAATCGGCTGACAACAGGGGGACATTGTGCTGCGATCGATCGTCCCGTTGAGCAGAATATGAAGGTGTCAGACCCTCAAAATCAGGCTTATACAAACACTGGTCACACTAATAGTTCAATAACACCCTTTTTAATTATTAAAATATCACATATCTAATATACTCCTGCAGGAAAACTGCTCCAGCACTCTGTTTTTGTATCTGTGGATTATTGTTTTAAGGCTTTAATTCTCCCTGTCAGCATTTTAGAGCATCGCATTGCCAACATTCAGGTGAAAGAACTGATTATTTGTAGTTCTGCTTATCCGTTATGTTGATTAAACGGTGTCCTCAAAACACCCCCATGATTCCGATCAACTAAAGTCCTCCAAGAATTCAAAAACTGATTGCAAAACATGTGAGATGAACAAAGACAGAGACTGTTTGGCTGGATGATATCATATAAATATAAAGGTTTCTCATTGGTGGAGCTCAGGTGAGGCCATGTTTTGTGTGTTTAGCTTTTCTGCACGTTATTGTTGTGAAACGTGGGGAAAATATCATTTGAATTTCTGCATTTTTCAGCAAATTTCTTGTTTTAATTTATAATAATTTCTGTCTTATTTTCAGGTCGATAAATATTTCAGTCCAGTTTTCAGATCAGTCAGAACATTTTAGGATTAGAAGACAATGTTCCAACACATTTACGTCGTTTTAGAACTACATCAGGTGTAAAAAGAAGTGTGGTGCGTTTAATGTTGTCTTAGGGAAAACGAACCACATGTCTGCGTTGTTAAGTCAATCTGATAGCTTCCCCTGTAGTATACATTACTTGAAAATTTTTAAATCTTAGTGTGTGAAACAGTAGAAACAATGCAAACTAAACAATGTGGTTTTGTTTTTTCGACCTTTTGCTAAACATTTAATTCACCATCACCTCCTTTAAGCTTGAACAGAACTGCACTTGAATTCACTCCTGATGGATTTAAGCCAAATAAGCGGTAATTTTCTTGACTTTCAAAGGTTTGAATTCCTTCGTTTGACACCAAAATTAATAAGTCAACAACTGAAACAGCAACACTAATATATTAATTATTAATTAAAACGATCGGATTATTTTCCAGGATTTTTGTAAAAACTGAAACTTCCTTCTTTTTGGCTCCTTTCTCATTTTAGGTGGGCCATTGCTGCATTTTCGCAGGTGTATCAAAGTGCTGCTTCGTGCTCTTTATTGCTCTCTAACGCTGCGCAGAATCAGATTGCATTTGCGGGAGTAGTTTAGCCTTAAATCCCAGATTTTAATCCCTGCATTGTTCGCACTGAGTCTGATTACAGTCTGTTTTACACTCTGATTTCCTGCTCGACTGTTTAATTGGAACCGCGGCTTCGCTCGCTCAGAGGAAACTAGATGAAAAGCGCGTCTTTTCACTCCAGCTCGTGTTTGAAGGTGAGCAGCTGCCTCACGAGAGACCTGTGGCTCCCACAAACTCCTTAAACCATCGCGCAAGAGCGGCAGCAAATATTTGTTTGATGCAAATCCGAACAAATCCGCCGCTCGCTGCGCTGTTTGCGCGTCTTGGCGCAAACACGTTTAATGTCCTGGTCTGCAGATATTTATTCAGCTGCTGCGAGACTCGTTTGCATAAAGGGAGAGATAGAGAAATGGAGGGAGAGGGACAGAGTGGGAGAGGGCCGGCTGCAGCTGAAACGGACTCCACACGACCAGGAACCTGAAATATGTATCGATCAGACTGATAATCTGATCAGGGCAACAGGAAAAAGAAAAAGAATCTCCTGAATTTTACCTTTTTATGCTTCAAATAGACTCAATTTTACGTCGTGACCTTTCCTCACAGGCGGAATAAAACTGCTTCTGTTTGTCTGCGTCGCTTTCAGAGGCCTTAAAGCGCCAGAACGACCCAGATTTTACCGGGGGGGAAATTCAAAGTCAAAGCAGTTTTTTTTTTGTTTGTTTGTTGTTGTTTTTTTACATTATTTGTTGCTATAATTTCCATTTCTGGTTTGGATCTTTTAAATCAAACGAAACCCGAGACTTCTGCGTAAAAGTGCATACATTTGTAGGATTTAACTTCTCACTGAGACGTATTTAAAAAGCAGAACTCAGTTGGCAAAACTGTGGCTTTCATTTTAAAAATATTTGAACCAATAAATGCAAAAAAAGAAAAGGAAAATAAATTCCAGCGTTACTGTTCGCACCTTTTATAAGTTATCCTCCTTTTTAAAATATATAACTTTGTGTTTCAGACGTTTTGTTGACTTTTCACAGACAGAAGTATAGAAATAATCAGCGAGAGAGACACAGAGAGAGAGAGAGCCCTGTAATAATAAACAGAATTCAATTTGTCTTCATTAGCGGGCAGAAAAGAAAGTGCGCACAACCTGCTCATTTTCTTTGCGCAAGGATGAGGGTTTAATTGGGGCAAATAATTAGCCTGAACCTCCCGCTCTCTGTGCGGCCTTCATTGCTCTAAACGCGTCCAAAACAACCTTGCCAGTGCACTGACGCGATTTTTTTAAACTACCCCCCTCCTTCCTTTTGATATTGCCCCGGAGCAGAAACGCATTAAACACACACACTTACATGTGACCCCCTAACCTGGCCCCACCTACGTAATTACCGCATCAGAGGCGGTGAAATTCCTGCAGGATATTTTGGAGAAACCAACTCGGGGCGCAGGAGTAATTATCACGCCATTACAGCGCTGCGTTCAATTACGCCTCGATCAGCTGTCTCCCGGCTTACTGTTTGGACTGTTTGGTGAAGGAGGTTAACTTTAAAAAAATATATATATATGATTATTATTTTATTTTAAAAGACACTTTGCTTCCCTAAAGCAAGGAGAGATGTCAGCATTTCAATTTAAAGGCAGACACTGAGAGGATTAAACGGCTGCTCTCTAAAATGGAAATGCAAGCCTACACGGCGTTCACGGCTTGTTTTAATTATGGCCTAATTTGCATTTACCCCCGTTATAATTAGGGGATGGGGGTGGGGGGGGGGACAAAAATCAACAAGCTTTTAAATAAAAGTGTGACTAGTTCAAATAAGAGAAAACAGCAGTGTCGAGTTTGTAATTTGATGGTGTACAAAAAGAAACTCGACTCCCTGTTGGGAATCAAAGTGAGACAAGGAAAAATAAAATATGACTTAACGGATCTTTATTGGATGAACATGTATGTAAGGGTGGTCGCCTTTAAAGATACATTCAACATCTCACTGTCATTTTTGGAGCTATAAATCCACATTTTCCTCTCCTCCCCCAGAAGAGTTAAAATAATAATAATAATAAAAAGCTTTGACTCCAATAACAAGCCAAGTGCTGCGGTTCAAACATGTCCCAGAGAGGTGGTCTGCTTTGAAAACGTGGAAGCTAGAATAATAATTATAATTATAATAATATCTGGAAAAAAGAAAATGTCCCAGAATAGTTTCTGCATCTATAGTTTAGATTTAGTTTTCCCCAAGACATTTCAAATTTTGCTGAGTAAAACAAGGTGGATATAAAAGCTGAACTTTATGGCCAATTTGTTCTCTTTGGAATATTTGGGAAGATTTACATACAGTTTCTTTTTTCTTCTTTCTTTCTTTCAAAGTGGTAATAAACAATTTTAAATTCAGAAAAGAAAAAAACAACAACTAAACATGGTCACTGTAACTGACCCAAATACATATTTACATATTTCAGCTCCTGTGTGCAGCTGACTAAAAATCTCTGTCATCCTAAAATAACAAATTCCAGAAAATAATAAAAACTATACAGGACTCGATGGAGGTAAAGAGGGCACGGCAGGCAGTTCCCGTCGGTGCACCAGAGGGGAAAATATTCCTCCCATCCAGAGAGCTGGTGGTCAAAGGAGTTTGGTTGAAATGACTCTTGGAAAAACAGTTTTGTTAAGCTTATCCCAAGGAGGGGTGTCTTTTAAAAAAAACAACAACAAAAAAAAAAACAACCCTTTTTCTTCGTCTTCAGGAAATCTGCTCCTGATGCTTTCTCTTTACAGGTCTGTCTTTTTCTTTCTTTCTTCTTTTAAACTTTGAAACAGGACGAGCGGGAGAAGGAAGTCCGATTCTTGAGCATTCCTGCTGCTATCTTGTTGTCTTATGGTTCATAAACTCTTTTGTCTTTTTAAAAAACAAGCAGTAAGCTAATCTGGAAAATAAAAGAGAGCAGACAAGCAGGGCGGGCAGTGGCGGGTGGGTGGGGAAGAAAGCCTGATCACAAGACTTGGAACCTCCAGGACGCCTGGTCTTTGTAGTCCAAGCAGTCTGTGGTGTTAAAGTTGAGCTTCCATGAAGAGGCGGCAGTCTGCTCTTTGTAATCCAGGCAGTCGGAGGAGTTGAAGGCCAGGCCGGAGCTGCCGTATGCCTGGTGGTGGTGGTGATGGTGGTGGTGGCCTGACGACTGGGAGATGTGGTGGTGCGGGTGGCCCGACATAGATGAGGCCGTCATGGGGCTGAGCTGGTGCGGGTGGTGATGGGAGTGCATGGGGGCTAGGTAGGAGCCGCAGTCCACGCCGCTAAAATAGGAGCTGGAAGGGGTGGGGTAGCCCTGGCCATAGCCCGGCGTCTGGTTGTAGGACATGGGGTAGGAGGTGGCGGCTGCAGCAGAGCCTGACATGGAACGCTGCATACAGGAGGCATTAGATGGGGGCCCGGGCTCAGGGAGCGGGGCCACGGCAGGAGCCGGAGCGTTTCCGGGGGAGATAGCAGGGCTCCATATAGAGGAGACGGTGCTGATGGAGGTAGAGGTGCTGCTGAGTGCCGCTGGGCCCGTGTGATTGGTGGACGAGGACGAAGAGGAGGAAGAGCCCGTGCTGGAGACAGCAGGAGGTGTAAACTGGCCGCTGCTCTCAGATCCGGTACTCTCCCGGGCCGGAGAGGACTTCTTCTTGGGCGGCCGGGCTTTGGCACTGCTGCCGCTTTGCTGCTGCTGGCGACACTTGGCCCTCCGGTTCTTGAACCACACCTACAACCACAAACACCAGCCAGGAGTTAGCAACCCTACACGACACCGGCCTCAGCATTTCAGGAAAAAAAGAACCTCCTGGGCCATGGTGGGAGTACATTATGGAGGAAAATTGGGGGTTATTAGCCATCAAGGTTCATTTCCACCCCGGCCCCTTGGCTTGGACCAGCCAGGGGTCTAATTTCATACCTGGTAGACGGGTCTAAGATAACAGGCTATTGAGTTTCACCACACAGTAGAGTAACTCTAGAGCACAGAGAGGGTATGATTGTGTAGAGCATTTTGCTTTACACACATTCTGAAAATAACTCGAATTGTGCCTTGGATTTCCCCTAATGCCTTTCAAGGAGCAGTGTTTGTTCAATACTGGAGTACACCAGTGAGATGTTTGGAGTATATGCAGGTTTGAGTCTTGGTTTCTTCATATTTCAGATCGAATTACACGACCTGTACTTGAAGAGCATCAAAAATGAAAAAAATAAATACAATTTTTAAAAATAATTGAGTGATTCTGCTGTAAAATAATCTTTAGTAAATTCAGTTTGTTTGCATCAGCCTACCCGGGTCTATGATATCATCATTATTATTATTATTGAAATTAAATGAAGTACTATGAGGTTTGTGTGACAAAACAAAATGCCACACAAACCAGTGTGTTGAGCCAAACACAAAACAAAAACAAAAAAAAAGAAATAGAAAGGCAGCTACTAAATTTTACTTTACTGAGGAACTAATAAACAAACCAAGGTGTGTAATTTTAATTACACTCATTATCTAACCAGTATCTAGCCATCTGCATGATTTTTTTTTGTCCTTTTCTTCTTAAAATCAGTGCATTACTGGGGTACATACAAGGCCTAAAGTTACCCAGGAATCATTCTTAATTTCCCCATAATTGACTTAAATATTTGTGACTCTTAAAAAAAAAAAAAAAAGATTAATGATTTAGTAGCATGAAAACGGAGACATAAATGTACGATAATCTAAGATATTTGCCTGTACAGTTTGTAGCTTGCTAGCTGGAGCGTTAACCGATAATTAACCTTTAATTCAGACACAAATGACGTCATTAACAGTCCCTCGGAGATAAGGGAAAAAATGTATTTAAATTAGAGGTTTTTGAAAATAAGAAAATAAACTCTTTAAATAAATTACTTTGAAGTTCATAAGAGTAAGTTGACATCTTCGTTTGACTATTTTAACTAAACTTGCAGGTCTTCATTGTCCTACTTTTTAAAAATACGGTCAACCACACTAAAGACATTAACTTAATGTCAGCGGAAGCAGAGATTAAAATGTGTCTTTTTTTAAACTTTTTATTTATTTTTGTACCTGGACTCTTGATTCAGGCAGGTTGATTTTCAGTGCGACCTCCTCCCGCATGAATATGTCCGGGTACCGGGTTTTGGCGAACAGAGCTTCCAGGACGTCGAGCTGGGAGCGGGTGAAGGTGGTTCGCTCCCGCCGCTGCTTCCTGGGAGTAGCTGCGGGGAAGAAAGGCGACACAGAGGGGAGAGAAAGACCGGAGAACCGCGTCAGAAACACGGAGGAAACCTGTAAATAATGTCGGGTGAGTGGTAGCGACATGCAAGCCTGTCCTGCTCTGCTGTTGGCTGAGGGTTAGAAAAGAAATTGTGTCTTTTTATTTACTGTTTTACGTTTACATTTTTATTGTGTGTACATTTTAAAATTTGTTTTTACCATTTTAACAGTGAAACACGCAATGTTATTATTATTATTATTATTATAAACGTTTCTTGTTGTTTAACTCTAACCCCTTGATTTGGAGCTCATGTTTACTGCGCATGCTTCTGTCCAGGTGCTCCGTGTGTGTGTGTGTGTGTGGCTGAGAGAGAGAGAGTGAGAGTTTGGGGGGGGTCCTACCTGGGTAACCCACTGAGGGGTGCAGCAGGTCCATGGCAGCGCCACTGAGCCCCAGGCCGTTGACGCCATAGGGGGGCTGTTTGAGGTAGGAC